AAATGTAATAAAAACGGGATTCAGTTAGTAAATTGTGATTATTGAATTTTCTCGATATTAATTGAATTTAATGAACAAGGGGAAAAGAGATTTGAACAAATAGAGGTGAAAATCAACACTTGACTATCATTATTATCATCATCGTGATCAATTAATACAAGGTAATAAAATGAAATGGTCATTTGATTGTTTCAATTTTTCAAGTGAATTAAATTCAATTGAAAAATCGTTAACAGTAATTCAATTTAATCATTTGTTGCAACAAATTTGCTCATTCTTTCTCTTTTTACAGGAAAATTGTTATTCAATCATCACCAATCTCATTGTATCATCATCAACATCAACTTGGAAATGTACACCTTGACAGAATTATTATCGACTAAATATACATCAGAAAACAAATAAACAGATGCAAAAGTGAATGAGTCAGTGCAATTGTAATGGAGAAACAATGATGATATAATATTTATTACGATTAAAATTGTTTCATAAAAAGATCGCTTAACCAGAAGAGATCAAGTTTTTTGCTTCTTGTAGATGAAAAAGCTGAATGCTTAATAATACTAATCATGATCGAGCTCATCATCTGTCTATTGAACATCATGATAAAAGCTGAGTATTTTCATCCAGAAAATGAGTGAAATAAGCAAAGATAATGATTTTGCGAAAAGAAATGAGAAGCGAACAAAAATGTTAAGAGATTGAAATTACATTGGATACACTGTAAAAGGTGAAACATTTTTCATCGTTTCTCACTTATTATTCAATTACGGTATTCACTTGTTCACAGGTTGCATCCATAATTACAGGATAAGGCTGTTTTTTCCTGTTCCTATTTGATAAAGTTAGAAAAAATAAACAAAATTTCAACAAAATAGTGACAATTTAAATTTCGAAGCCTTTTATTTGTCAAAATCAAATCAATATTTCATCAACGTTCAATCAATTCAATTATAGTTGATAAATATTTGATTAATTCAATTTTCAATGTCACCAATTTGCCCAGATTTCATGTTAACAATTAACAACAATTGTAACGTGAAAAGGGCAACGTAATCAAAACATGAATATTGACAAAAAAATATCTTTAAATCTTTCATTTTTTAATAAGTTTTTTCACCAGCAATTTGATTTTTCAAATGAAATATCAAATGTAAAATATTGGCTTTAAGGGAAGCTACAATAATTATAAATGTTCAAGCCAATTAGCTGTACCATTTAACAAATTAACTAACTAATTAAAAAATGACATTGAAGTTTTTTTGATATAAAAAAGGATGAAACAAACACAGTTTTATCATTTTCAATTAAAACGATGGAAAGGCAAAAAACAGCAAATCAACATTATTCACTTTACACATACTCAACCATCATCACTGGGTTAACCTTGAATACGAGAGAAAAAAAAGTTTCTTATGATTTTTTTGAGCAAAAAAATGTGAAATGAATGAAATAAGGTATCGATGTCAACACTCAAGAGGAGAAATGCGCTTGTAAGACGCAATATAAAGAGTTGCGATCGTTTATTTTGTTAATTTTTTGCTTAAAATTTGCCTGTTTGCTGCTTTGTATAACTTAATACTTTTTGCTTAAAGTAAATTGTTAGTATCAACTACTTTTTTTGGGATGTAATCCAAGAAAACAATCAGCATCCAAGAATGATTCAACTTTAGGAATGTAAATCTACATGCAACAGTTTTTACATAAACTTTTGCTTTTCGCACAAATAATTTTTCAACGTTTCTTATGAAACCCATTAACATCATTGCCAACAGCAGCAACACATTTTATTAATGTTTGATTGCAACTCTTTTTTGTATTTTTCACTTTTCCCATCTTCATTATTGAAATTGGAAAGAAGGAAAAAAACCCTTTCAGAGTTACACTCAACTTTCATTGTATTATCATTGTAAATTAAAATTTTAATTCAAGCAACAGAAGAAGAAGTAAAAAAATTTAATTTTTTTACATTGTATCAAAATGTTTCACTGACAATTCAAGTGAGTGTAAATTTTTTCTAATGGAACGATGAGTATGACGTATTCATTGAGGAAAAATAAGGTAATTGGTTGGATAAAATGCACATGAAGATCAGTAATGATGATGAATTAATAGGGCTAACAATTAAATGGCTGTAGATTAATTAGTGAGTTTCAAATTTTTTCTTCTTTCATGGAAAAAAATATTCGACTTGGGGTGAAATTTTTGCTTCTTCCCTCAGTTGAAAAGTTAATGATGAGGTGAAAGTTTTAAGTGTAGGATGAAACCATGTTTATGATGATAATCATCATTGTAATCATCATTATGGGCAACTTATTATTACCAGAAAGATTATACAGAAAAATTCAATTAAAGTCAATGTAATCAGAAAATTTTAGACATTGTTGCTTTATTGCTATTTTTCGGCCTCATCAATTCATTTACTAGGAAAGGCTTTTTTTGACTGGTTAACATCAAGAGACTTTTGGGTAAAAAAATATTCTGAATATCATGCAGCTATTAATATCATGCATTAAGAGTCATCTATTCATTATTTTATTCAATGGTAACCAATTGAAGGAACCCTGAAATTAGACTGTTACAGATAGGCTTTTTTGTTATTCTTGTTGCGTTGCTTGAAAAAAGTTTAATGATGAGTATCAGGTAAACTGGTTATGGGTATATTAGATTCAGCATATTCATTACATGATAATGAAAAAGGACAGAGTAAGAGGTAAGAATAAGAAAAAAGGGGAAAACTGGATAAATAAAAATAAGAAAAAAACACAAAGTCGATTTGATGTTCCAATGGTGCAATTGGAATAGTATTTAATAAAAGTAGACAGTTATATAATCATTTACTACCTGGAATCATTCATTATCTGAATGGAAAGCATAATAAATTGATAAGGAACACAAAAAGCGAGAAAGATAAAGAGAGGCAAGAAAATTGTGATTAACAAAAGTTGGAATTGGCTTCAAGTTTCGTGTTTATTTCAGAATCTGAATCATTTTTTTCAAGTTCAACTTTGTTTTCAATATAATGCTCAAATTGGCCTTTTTTCATGCATAAATGTAATTTTAAGACAACATTGAAAGCAATTATGAAAATTGGTGAAAGTGTTTTGTTGATTTTACTCTTTTCATAGTTTTTTTTCATGATAAATGTGATGATAATTTTTGAAAATGAAATAAACTTGAAAGATTTGAAGTAGGAATTAACTAATGCTTAATAAGAGTCAAAGGTAATCAGCCAGAAAGAATGGGAAATAAATGAAAAGAGATAAAAGAGATTGTTGAATTAAATGATAACATGAACAAAACAGATGGGACTGGTTTCGATTAAATCGATTCTGATGTTACAAGGAAGACAAGTTATATCTTCTTCTGAATGTTCAAGAAAAACAAGAAAAAGGAGAGAAGGCTAAGTTAGGAAAAAAAACGAGACAAACCAGCTAGATGGAATAAAAATGAGAGAAGATTGAAGAAGAAGGTAAAGTGGCAAAGAAGAAATGTTTTTGTTCGTTTTCGTTCAGAATACAGAGGAGGAATATTCTTTTAGGAATCATCTGAAGGCATGAATAAATAACGAGAAGGCTTTTTACGAAATACAAACTTGTTTCATTGAGAATTGATAAAAAGTACCAGAAAAACTATCAACTTTGTTGTTTTCAATAAATCCTTTTTTTATATTTTCATTTTATTCTTGAGCGCAACTCCAACTCACAATAAACACCAGAAAAGGTTGAAAACCAGAATCAGATTATCTGTAATACACATTTAAATTTTCACCAAATCCCTTCGAAATTACAACTCATTTTATTTTGCAAATTATCATTTTTTTGAACAAGGAAAAAAACTCATCAAATGAACCCTTCAAATAAACAATTAAATGTTTCAATTTATAATGGATTTGACAAAAAAAGGCAAAATGGTTGTTGAGTGCATCAATATTTTAAATTTTTCCTCTATTTTGTGCTTCTCTTTTCATCTTGAAACTATTGATTTTCAAGAGCAATATTTTTGCATTTTGTAACTTTATTGCTTTACCTTACATTTTATTATTATAACAATATGTAATAATAATCCAATATATTTTTTTGTTTCCTTTTTCACTTCTTCTCAACATCAACACAAACTGATTCAATAGTGAACTGAATTATGAAAAATATTGCATTTACTTTTGATATTATGTAATACATAACAGGTAAAGGAAGGGTTCATGGTTAAATGAGCTACGAAAAAATCGTTATGTTTAAAGATGAGTAAATAAGAGGTGAAGATGAAGTAAAAATATCAACAACAAAAAATTACCAGAAAAATAAACCTAAATAAAATCGTGTGTTGAGAGAGAGAAGGAGAGAAACCGGGAGAGAAATTCAGGTGAGTGATAACAAAACAGGTAAAAAAAAGTAGGCAGGGAAGGAGGTTGAGAGAGTAAAAGAGAGAGTGCGAGGAAGAATGAGAAACAAAGAATAGAAGTTAGAAAGAGAAATGAATAGTCAGAACGAGGTTGGAAAGGAACAGAATGAAGTTAAAATGGATCGATTGGGACTTTTTTGTTCTGTTGTTGCTGCCTCTGCTTCCAGAAGCATCATCAGCATCATCATCATACATATGGAGACATAAATTAGGAAGATGAGAAGAGAGGAAGAGACAAAGGAGGAAAAAAAAGAGAAGTGACAAGTTCTGAAAATGGTAAAATCAATAAGATCAACAAATGACTTAGTATTGTTTATTGTTAAGCAAAATACGGATTATTGTCGATGAGAGAGAAAACTGAGATGAATAAATTTTCTTCTCATACATATATATCTAATAATATTTGCTTCAATTTTCGCCATTCATTTTGAGTTGGAATATCAATGGAAATAGTCAAATTTAATATTCAATATTAGATTTTCAGCTTTTTTGCTGGGTTTTTATTTTTGGTGAAACACACACAAAAATGTATTTTTGTTTTACTGTGAAAGTTAATACAATGAAAATAATGGCGATAAGTAAATCAATGTTGGACTTACCTTGTTTTGAGATGTTGAATTTTTTAGCATAGGCAAACCCGTTTTGTTTTCATCATTGTTACTGTAGGTATCAATATTGGAACAATCATCAACTTGAGTGACTTCCTTTTTCACATTAATATTCAAGTGGCCAGTTGATTTTAAATTATTATCACCGTTAACACCTAAAGCACAATCACCATTAATATCCATTGATCGTCCATTTCCATTAACTGATAGCCGTCTACTTCGCCGATTTACTCGAGTTAAGGTAACTGTTGGTGTTGTTGTTGTTGTTTCTTGCTGTTGACTTGTGGACGAGGATGATGTTGAAATGGCAAAACCAGAATTATTTGAATTTGAATTATTACTATTACTATTATGAATATTTTTAACATTATTGTATGTACTATTATTAGAGATAGATTTAGAGTTTCGGTCAACTCCTTTTCTCCTGCTATTTCCTGGAATTTCTTTGATATGGGATTTCTTTTGAACACTTGACTGTGTCCCATCTCGTTTACTCTTGGATGAGTTTAACGAGTTCCTAGGATTATTTATATTATTATTATTTAAATTACTATTATTAAAATTATTTGATTTAACCTCTTCACTGGATAACGATGAAGATAATTCGCTTGTAGCTGATGGATGAGTTGCTGAAGATGAAACCAAAGCAATAGCTGCAACTGAATTCTTGTCAACCAGATCGTAATTGATGAGATATTTTCCTAATTCTTGCAGATTGGTGAAACTTTGCTCAAGAATTCCTTCTGCCCAATCTAATATCAACCGTGTGGCCGCATTTTGAACGATATCAGGTGAAATTGTGTGTTTACCATAGATATTGGTAGTAGAATCATTGATAGTAGAAAAATTAGCATCATTATTAACACGGACACTGCCATCAACTCCTAAGGCTTCTTCAGTTGACGATGGATCAGACGATGAATCTTCTTCCATTGAATTTGCTTTGTTAATCCGCATATCATCACCATTAACTTTACCATTATTATTATCATCGTTACTATTATTAACATTATTATTCAATGAGGTACTTGTGTTTGAGAGATCAGGTAAACACGGTGCAGGGAGAGTTAATCTCTTTCTTAAGCCACTATAACAATATTTTGAGTTACCTCGTTGGCCCAATCGTCGAGGTTTTACTCGAGGGAAGACATGTTTCATTGCTTTACCAAAATCAGCTACACATAGTGGTTCAAAGCTATTTGACTGACAAAAGCAACGATATTCATCGTAAACTTCGTGTTTTGGTAAGGAAACGGTTGAATCCTCTTCTAGGTGACTCTGTATCCATGTATAAGTTTGGGCAACCTCAACGTCTGCCTTTTTACCAAAAGGGTTTCCAGGTCCTTTACTGTGGTTGACAAAAAAAAGAGAGGAAAGAAAGCAAAGTTGATTAAATTTATGAGAACAAGAGAGGTTTGTGTAAATACGTTGACTCAACATTGATAAAGAAATCAGGTAAAGAAAGAGAGAGAGAGAAAAACGAATAAAATGAAAAGATTGATTGACAATCCTGCAAACATCAAACAATCAAAAGTGATTACGTGATAGATATTTAGATGGCACAACTTATAAATCTATTTGATGTCTTAAATATGGAAGAACAAGTCATTCTATCATCTCTGTCTTTTTTTCCCATTTCTTTTGATTTTCTCTGTCTTTACCACTCTCAATATCAAGCTTTGGCGAGAATCAAGTGAGATATTTCATTTCATTGCAATTAGCAGATCGATAAAACGATGACTTGAGCCAGTGAAATATTATACTACGATGTACAATTTTCACCATAAAATTGTATGAACTTACTGTTTAAGAGGATCATTTGATGGCGAACCACTGGGTAGTTGAATATAGAGCAACAGCTTCTCGATGTCATTGAATTGGTTTATCTCATTCTATGAAGAGCGTACAGAAAAAGAAATCAGCAGAAAATGAAATGAGAAAAGGATGAAGTGAAGAAGTTAGTTTAAGAAGTAAAAAATCAAGGTTAATAATCATAAACATCATCATCATTATGTCTATCATTTTTATTGTTATTATTATATTCTGTTACATAAACTTAACATAGGGCAAAGGGTCAATTTGACGAAATGCTTAGTAGATAATTACGTAGATACGAGAAGAAGAAAAAAGTGTTCACAGTGACCCAATCTTTGTGAGTTGAAAAGCAATAAGAATTATAATAATGGTATTGATAATGATGGTGATGGGCTAACGCAATTCACAAAGAAACGTAAATGTGAACGACAATCAAGTTTTGGCCTACACAATGAGAATAATACAAAAAAGGAAAGAGGTACCCAAAGTAGGAAAGTAGGATAGAAAGAGAAGCAGAAAGAGAGAGAGAGAGAAACAAAGAAAAAATGAAATGAAGAATAGGAGGGATGTAAGATTGGGAAAAAAAGTGTTAAACAAAGGGATGTAATTTGGTAACTAAATGAATGCAAAAAGATGATGATGATGGTTAGTGATAGCAATGGAAAAAATGTACTTACGATTAGATGTGCTATCTTTTGTTTCACTTTTTCATTGGAAAGAGAATAAGATGAAGGCAAAGACATAATGGAATAAAACAGTAATGCAAATGAGACATAGAAATTGTTGAAAGAAAAAAGGTTTAAGAGATGGATTTATAATCAAAGTAGTGTGAAATTGTGATTGGTTTTTGTGATTGTTGCAGTTGTTTAATGATGATAATAAGCAATCAAAAGGATATTTTTTTGAGGTGTTGTAGCGGTTGTACCAATAGAGATGTTCAAGTGTGGTGTTATGTTTTGGTTGATAGTGAATGGTGATGTTATCAAGATGACGATGGACAAGTGTGGTTAATTTTTGATTTTAAAATTTAAACTGAAAAAGAGGCAAGAAAAATATCCTCATCTTAGGCAAAAAGCAAAGAAAGAGGTTTTGTTTTGTCACTAAAAAAATAAGATAGAGAGTTACATAGAAAGGGAAAAAATGGTAAAGGAAAAACAGTAACTGGTGATGGTGAAGAAGAGAGAAAAAAAAGAAAGAATCACAAAAAGGAAAAAACCAGAAGATAAAAGAAGAACAGAAGGGTTAAAGGAATAGATGAAGGTGGTAAAAGGAGGAAGAAGAAGAATGATAAAAGGTGAAGAGAAAGTAGGACCAGAAAAAGTGTTGAACAATTTAATTAATCTAAAAAAACATAACTGTGAACAATCAGTCAATCATTCTCATAATAACATGAGAATCAACTTTCTTCTTCTCGTCAGCTGTTAAACGCCATCTGCAACATTCAATTTCAGAGTTACCAGAAAGGAGAGCGAGAGAGTCGATTATCTCCCAAAAGGGAGTCTAAATATTCCTTTGCATTATTGCCATCTAGCGATATTAGATATTATCAATGGTATTCAATATTTTAATAAAGGTTTCATTTAAATTGCAATATAAGTTCATTCAATTACAATTGTTGGTTAGAATTTTTAATTTCCAGAATTCTTCAAATTAGTGAACACTATTTATCAATTTCACTTTGTTTTAATTGATTGAAGTCAGTGTAAGGAGTAGTCAAAGGTGATTTCCGTACTTTGTGTTTTGTTAGGCCTTTGATTGTAGCTTTCATCTGATTGTTTAATAAATTGTATTGTTTACAGTATTATAAGAGGTTATTTGTTTTGTCTATTTAGAGGGTTGCAAGTGTCGAAAATAGTATTTTGTATTATCTCATGATGATTTTCATTGATTCATGCATATATTTCTGCCTGTTTTTGTTTAGATTTAATGAAATTATGTAATAATTATGTTTAATAAATTCATTGTTTTCAGATTGGAGGGAAATGGAATGTTTCAATTCAATCACGCAGACAATATAAATTGTCAAATGTTATGAAATCCAAATTTTACCTTCCTTTAATCAATACAATCATGATAATCATTATTGATTGATCTTTTTGTTCTCACTTCAACATTTCTGAAGGTTAAAGCTGTCAACGAGCCATTCATTTGCTTCTAACCACTTACATCTGAGATGCTTTTAATTGTTAATTTAATCCTCAAAGAATTGATTTGACGAATCGTGTATGTATTGCAATTGAATTTATCACTACTGTTAGATTGTGGATACAAAAAGCGACGAGTCTTGATAAATGTAAACCTTTGTGAAATGTTGAAAAATACGGAGAAGCCTTATTTAATGTTGAAATCAATCAATTTCGTCAAGATTAACGGATGATTGCTGATTAAAGCAGATTGTATGTAATTATTAGATCCAACTATAAAAGTGTTTGATCTTGAAAAAGATATTCCAACCTTTGGAAGCGAAATGATTATATTGGAGTTGATGTTTGTTGATGTAAAAAAATCAAAGTCATTAATTTATTCATCTTGATTAGATTGACCATCAGTAGATTCGACATTATCGTCAGATTTCAAAGATTGTTTGAATAAAATTTTTCCAGTCATTAAGCCTTCTTCAATTTTTATTAGCCTAAGAGTCATCCTGGGACCAACCTCTGTTAATCTGGTAATACGAAAGAAGAAATGGAAAAATTATAAATTTCTGTTTCAAATAAAATTAAAGACAGTATTTACCTGATCGCGCTCTTTTCATTTGCCAAATTTCCCCTTTTATTCGTATTCTCCGTCAGTTTAACATGTCTTTCTGTTTCGACTTCATCCAGGCCTTCACCTTCTGATTCACTTAGACCTAGATCACGGTTGAAAAGATCTTCAACTGAAAGTAGTTTTCCTAAATTGGGCAACTTTTTACCACAAACTAGCTTTTTAATTGGTTTGCTTATACCAACAGGTTTCAAACTTATAGCATAATGTCGGAATTCGAGAAGTCCATCGTCCGGCCGATAGTTAATTAGCACCACTCGCTTTAGTTGACTCACTTTGACTGTATTGATATCAATACTTGGAAAAAGGTTTTGGAACATTGTTCTCATCAATTTACATTTGAGATCATTTTCATCAGCTAATCCATTCATAACAAGAACAGGAGGGTTAAGGTGAAATTTAGATAAGACCACAGGTTTCCTCAAACTTGAAATTACATCTCTGCTTAGAGAATATTTTGATATCTTGAAAACTAAAGTTGGTCCTCTAGGAAGTTTACAAAAACGTAGATACATTGCTTTCGAAGTTCGGGTGAAACAAAGTAGATGGGTAACATGAAAAATCGAGGCAACAGCAACAAAATCTTTGACAACATTATTTTTCCTGATTTTTAAATTAGAGGCTGTGTATGGTTCCAATACTTTTCGCATATCCAGCATCAATGCTCGTCCTAATTTTCCAATTTTACCTCGTTTAATAACAAACGAGTGCGGAGCTTCTTTCAATTCTTCTGGCTCAGCGACAGCAATTCCCTTGGTCTAAAAAATTCACAATAAAATATCAAAGAATGGTAAATAAACGACAAATACAAGCTTAATACAAATACAAAAATACATACCTTGTTTTTCTTGTGCTTCATTTTACGATTTGTTGTAAATTATGTCCGAGTATTTTTTATCTTTAAATCGAGTAACAATCTTTAAAAAGCCAAAATTAAATAAAATAAACTGAATAATGAACAAATAATGAATTGTAGTCAGACGAGAATTAAATCATTTTGGTTAAACATGTTTTGACTACTTGCTAAAACCACATGGCTGTTAGGGACCGATAAAAAATTTACTATAAAACAACTCCAACTGAAGTTTAAATTGAAGTTACCGAAATAAATAGTCTTTTTAAATTTTTCGTGAGAATTACATTCATATTTATTTAATAAGAATAATCATAATAGCATTAATAATAATAATAATAATATAACACATAATTGTTTGAAATTGACTTTTCCTTTCCTTTTGCGCTGTTTTCCAACGTTTCCTTGCTGTTAATAAATACACTAAAATTGGGAGCCAAGATTGCTATAAGATTATTTTTTAGATGATCAAGGAAACGTAAGGTTATGAAACAAAATAATTTTAGATTTCAAAAGTTTCATGTTCATCAGTTATATTCACAAATTCACTCACAAAAACAGGAGGGATAGAAAAAAGGTCAATTTTGATCCACAAAGGGGTAAAGTTTATGCTCGACGAGTTAATCATTAATTGTTTCTTTGTTCACAGACTAGATTTTTCGAAATTCGAGATGAGAAGAAGAAAATTGTAAATAAATTTGAGTGAGATTTAAGAAACGGGAAAAATGGTCAATAAGGTGAAAGGGAATAAAGGGCAGAAATGAAAGATGCATGACTTAGCAACATTTTTTTTGTGAGAATCTGCATTAATTATGAGAATTAATTTGAGGACGAAGATAATTTAGTTGCTATTGTTGGTGCAACACCGTCAGAGGCTAATGCAATTGAAACGCTAGAGTTAACATCATTGTTATTATTGGTAATTGTTGCTGTCGTTGTAGAGGAAGAAGTAGTATTGGTCGCTGGATCATAGACATTCCCGGTAGTTGCAGTGTTGGTGTTATTGGATGATGTTGTAGATGTAGATGATTTACCATTTGGCCGAGAATCAATTGGTTTGGTGAGATTGAGATTAGATATTCTTGAAGTGAAATAACTTCCTTGAATCACTTCTCTCATCTTTTTTATCCATAAAGATTTAACATCCACTGATGAAGCTTTTAAGATAATTTTATTCTCTTGAAAATTTGGACCTCGTGTTGATGCACCATTAGTCCAAATGGCAAATTTACATTCATCATTATCAACCGTTTCTGCTAGACCAATCTCGGCTGTCATGTAGCGACTTTTAAATAAATAACGACCACGGTTACAGTTATCTCGATTTGAATTGCCATTGGTTGAGTTATTTGAGCTTGAATTGGAATTAACTTGGTTGAGATCAGGCTTGGCTTCTTTGGCAAATACTATGTACAGTTCAAACAGGAAGACTCGTCGTTCACGTCGTTTTCGTGATGGTATAAGGGTTTTGGGATCGAATATTTGGAAAGAATCTTGCATGATAACCTCTCCTAATTGGTTTATTGAAATATCACATCCTTCCAACATGCTTAAATGTAAAGCATCGTTGGCTTTCTTAGGCACCAATAGCATCACTTCTAACCCATCTTTAATTTCGCCTTGTAAACCTTCATCACAACAGGACAATAAATCTTTCAACAGGAGTTGATACTTGGTTATTCTTTGAACTGGTTTAATTAGATAAGCCGCTATTGGATGGATAACACCGTGTTTACGTTGTACATCTTCAAAGAATGATGATATCTTTGGAATCACAAGAGCTGCATTAGAGTCGGGTTTGTTTTTACAATAATTTACATAAACATCAAAAGATCGAGCCCAAGTAACGAAACAATGGCCAATATCTTCAGGCATTGTTTCATATTTTTCCAATTCTTTGAGGAAGATACTGTAGAAGGACAAAGAAAATAATAAGATATTTAGTGATGAGATAAATACATTCATTATGAGCAAATTAATGATAGCATTTGGTTTCAAATAAACATTTTTAAGCTGAGTATTAATTTTCATTTCGTTTTCGTTTTCTTTAAATGCAAAAAAATTAAACAATACTCACTCATTATGGAAATTAAAGATTTGTTCAATGTTACCAAATATCATACTTTCTTTATCTTTAAGGAACTGGTTATCAGCTGCTCTGGTTTTAAATTCAGCGAAATATGTGTTTAAACAGGTTCGAAGATCATTAACGTAACTTTTCTCGGTTTGAAGCAATTCACTCATAATGAACTCTCTTTTTCGAGCTGATTTACGTTTAATTTCTAACTGGTCATCGGTTAAATGTTGAAATTGGTTGGAATCACAAGATGATTTACCGGTAACAGTGCTAGCAGAACTAGCACTAACACCAGTAGATGAACTAGAGCCACTTGAATTAGTGTAGATGGAAGCCTTGTCTCGACTTAATTTACTTTCCAATGAAGAATCGGAACTTCTATCACCAGCTTTGCCACCCCCACCACTACTAATGGACACTCCTCCACTACTACCAGCCCCAACTCCTCCAGTTTCACCATTCTGGTTTTCAATCACTGAGCTCGGTGTTACCAAGCCCAATTGATCTTCTAACCGACGTTTATACTGATCTAAGGATTTACTAAATTCTTTGAATGTTTTCTCAACAAGATTACACCAATACTTGATAGCGTGACAGTGAATGTGGCCTCGCTCGATCAAGTTTTCTGACAGCTGGATCAGAAGGCGAACCTTTTCCTTGGTTTCTTTCACCTGTACTCTGAATTCAGTAAGAGATTTAAAAGCTTCATCGAGCTCTTCTTTACTTGCTGTTGACAGATTACGGGCAAGTTGCTTATTAAGCCACACTTCACCAGTTTCTCGGATCCATTTAATAGCTTGACGACCTGAATGTTCAACCAAAACATATTGCTGACAAAGATCAAGCCTTCTTTTCCGTTCAGTCCAAGAATCAATCGTCCTTTCCTCTTGAACAGTTATACAGTCCATAATGTTATTAACTTTATTCTCGGCATTTCGATACTTGGGACCATTTTGATTATTATGATGAAAAACAGTCATGGAAAACAATGCATATCTAATGAAGGATTCCATATTCCTTCTGGCTAATGTAGTAGCTTTGTGAAAAGCCTCTTTCTGCTCCTGATGCTTGGAAATTATTTGAGCGATTTTCTTATCACCGGTTTCACATTCATTGTCTTGAAGAGATATGGTGACGGGACTATTAAGATGACCTTCTATATTACAAGCTCCACAAAAGTCTTCATCGGCTCGATATTGTTTCTCCAAGCTCTCTAGAACCGAGCGAACTTGATCAGCTGTCTTGTAAAAATTAAGACTTGCTTGAACCAATCTACCAACAGCCTCTACTTGAGTCAGCAGTGTTTGCCTCATATCGCTTACATCAGATAAAACCAAGTTTACCCTTTTTTGGTTGACATTATCATTTTGAATAGCATTTTCGTTTTGAACAGCATTTTCGTTTTGGATATCATTTTTGTTTTTATTTGGGTTTTCCTTTTCAATAGCAATGGCTCTCTGTTGTAGATGATAAACTGATTTAAGCGTTTTCTGTTGATTGAAACCATCATGTGCCCAAATGTGTACAATTTTACGGAAGAAGAGCAGAAAAAGAGAAGAAAAAATTAGATTAAAATCATGAGAAAATAATAAAAATAAATAAGGATTGAGAGAATCAACAGTTGACTCTAAAGCCTACTTTTTTGTAGATTACAATAATTAAGTTTTATTGAAAAAAAGAGAACCAGTTTAAATTAATTCTAATAATCCAAACCAATTACTTCACTTATTCTGTTCAGAATAATCTCCATTTTGTCCTCCTTTCCATTCTCAAGAAAACAAAAGATGAATAGTACATCCTAAACAGATGAAACAGGCTCCATTAGGACCAGAGTCCAGTGAGAAAGATACAATCTCTCACAGATTAAAAAGATGGAACCCAAAAAAATCAAGAATCTACAAAGTGCCTTCTTCGATGAGAATGTTTAAACGACTTAATGTTTGGTGAAAAAAAAGGAAAATTAAAATGATTTATTCGTAAGTGTATATCAATGTAATTATTTGCTTCAAAAAGATGGATGAGATCATAAAGCTGGTAGGAATAAGTTGTCTTGAAAGTGATCGGCCCAAAGATATTTCAAGCCTTGAAACTAAACAAAAACCATGTTTTAGTGATTTAAATTGATTATTCATTGGTCTTCTGGTACTTCAGCGAAAGTTGAAAAAAAGTAAATAGACAAAGGTTGCAATGTGTCTTTACAAAATTGATAAGATACAACGAAGAAGAAGCTGCAGAAGAAGAAGATGATGATGATGGCTTACAGATTGATGTTATGGAAGAAAAGTGTTGTTGATAGTTAATTGTAGACAAAAAATGGTTGAGATACGCTTGTCAAAGTTAACTTTTCTCTAGATTATATACTTTAATGAGAAAGAAGAGGAAGGGAGATGATGTTGATGATAATAAGAGAGGTACAAAGGAAAAAAAGAAATGAGGTAGATACTGAGAATTAGCCTTAGCTTGAGTACTGTTAGAGTTTTGGCTTCATCTGCCCTGAGGGAGTGAAGTGAGAAAGAGTGAAAAGACCAAGAATTGTAAGGAGGGTGACCAGAAGCTCCAAGAAGCAACTAAATTAGTTAACCTTGATTTTGACTTTAAACTTGCGACCAACAGAAGCAGAAGCAAAAAAAGTTCACAAAATAGTAACCGGTTTCAGACTTAATTGTGGAAGTGTGTTAACTTTAAACTTGAGATGACCAGACTTTCGATTATTTCTGATTATTCCAAGCTTGTGGTTTGGCATTGCGCAAAGTTGATTCAACAATAACAAGCTTTGGAAAGTTCTGTCACCTTTCAACAGATTATTACCAATTATTAATACAACTGAGCATGATGAAAGAAAATTTCATCTGTCTTTGACATCTATTTAGCATTTAGTCTTGACATTAAAAATGACAATGAGTATAATGGGTTGAAATGATATTTAGATTTTGGAATAGCTGATTTAACTCGATTATCTCACTAATCAGATTCAGAAGCATGAAAACAGATAAAGAAATGAACTGATCAGAAGTTGAGAAAAAAAATGAAAGAATTTTAGAAACCAGTCAATCAATTGAAGAGTAACGGTCAAGTTTCGGATGTTTTTATGTAATTGATGAATGAACAAAGTGTCTGATGTTGTATGAATCGACAACGATACCGAAGCAATGATGGGAAAACCTGCAATTTAACAGGATGGACATGGATGAACAAGGAAGCATTCTGTTAATTTAGTAAAATAATGAAAAGGGATTAAATAGAGAATCAGAAAAAAACAGATTCTGAGTAATGCATCCTTTCGATTATCAACTCATCAACAAGAATGGACTTATTGTTATCATTATCAAAGTCATCAACAAGAGTAACAATAACAATAACATCATCATTACCATTATGAAAGCATGCAAAGTTGAATCGTTGAAAGGCCAATTTCATGGTGTAGTAGGGTAGAGTTACTATCAAAAGTGTTCAATGAAAGACACAAATATATTAAAATTATGATTACAAACAAAATGCAGTTTTGATCAACATTATAATCATCATCATGATCATTATAAAAAACTAGTTGAACTGATAACTCAATAAAGGATTGATGTTACTTTTTCTTGAAATAAAACTTGATTATTTGCTTGAGTGTGAACCTTTTTTTGCTCAACATGAACCTTAAATTGACAGTAGTTTCAATCTTATAGAGATTGGCACCAAACAAAAGTAAGCAATTAAAGACACCAGCCACAAAAATAATTAACTAACATAAAATCATTAAGAATTGAATTTCGGGTAAACATTGTAAGATAATATACTTCTATGATTGATCGTCTCATTAAATGTCTTAAAAAACACAAAATCTATTTTCATTACTGAACAGTTGAGTTAGTTGCAAAAAATGGGTTTACTGATTTTTCATGCAGCTTTTTGTTGTTAAGATTTACTTCACTAATGATTGGCCCAGTGGAACTATTAGTTTATTTTCATGAAGATGACTATTTCAATGGGACCAGTGAGATATTGAACATAAAAATTGTAATGATAGATGAACAGCTATTATTATCAACGATTTGGTAAATTGTTTCTCTTCTGGAAACGTGATCTCTAGAGTGAATTGGTAGTTTAACAGATGAATAGCAAGTATTAGAGGATTTAATTCATGAAATCTGAAGTGATTTTAATCGTGTTGAAATGTTAACCATTTATCTGAGATTGGATTCAATCCAGTAGACAGTTGATCCATGAAAACAGTAAACAAAATATATATAACTACTCAACTATAAATCATCCTAATCATACAAGTTATCAGATTGAATAGAAAAGAAGTCCAATCAATTCCAAGAAATAACTATTCGAATCATGACTAGATCTTGAGCTTTGAAAAATAATGAAATCAGATTGTAAAGGAAATCATGAAGCTAGATAATTGAAACTTTAGATTTGGGTTTAAAATTTTCATTATTGAATATTCATGGTGAAAAATGTAATATAAACGATAGAAAAATCGATTGAATAAATAGTGGAAATTTTCAAACACGAATCGTGATGGTTATTGTAATGGAAACATAATGTTCATGTTTGATATAAAGCGTCACATGAACCGTCATCAAATGAAAATTGAACAATTAAATAGCAATGTATAAAGATTAAGGTTCAAGTGTTGGTTAATAATGAGAATCTTTGAATGAAAATAAAAGACTGGAAATTGATAAGTTGCATAGATCTTTAGACTAATCAATCTTAACAACAAATTAATTAACATTCCATTTCAATGATTTTTGGTGTTGATAAAATGAATGAAGTGAAAAAGACCGTGCAAGTTGAAATGAGTAGGAGAGAGGAAAGGAATAGAATGGCTAAAGAGACAGAAAGGGTGGGAAGTTTTTTGTTTATTGTAAACGTGAACATGTAAAAGATATGAAAATCATGATTGTCAGAATTATGTTGAAAATATAAGTTAATGCTGAAATGAAATGAAACAAAATGCTGATCATTTGGCTGACCTACCTAACCTTTCATTCAAAATTTTGCTTATCGTCTAAAAGGTTTAGTTGGTATTTTAGTTTAATGGATGAAAATGTTGAACCTTATGTTATAACACAGAGTGAATTGAAAAAACCACCCAAAACAAGTAGTGATTGGAAGTTGAAAGGATATTTGATTAATGAGCATCACAAATTTGACAGGGTCCTAAATTGAAAGATTGACGTAAGTAAATCAACATGATCAACTTGATTTTCAATTGAAATTGTATCTCGAAGTAAAAGTATAATGGAATCAACAGAAATTTGAGATACTTTGCGATATGATTATTGGTAATATCATCAAAAATAGAGTGAAGGTTCAGTGTAGAGGACGGAGATTCATATAGAGAGATAGATGGAAAGAAATTAGATATTGTTGAAGATGGAATGGAAAAAGAATGGAAAAGAGGAAACGATAAAATCCATTTATAGAAATGAAGTCAAGATAGTGTCATTAATGATATTTGGATGTGTTTGTGGAAAACATTATCGATAACTGAACTTTATAGAAATAATAAACAAATAGATTTATGCTTACATGAATAACTAATTGAAAATGTTCATGCTCTGTTCGATGGTTTTCGGCTTCTTGTAGTGACTGAGGAATGGTGAAAGATGCTGATAACATTGATAAAGCATTTTTAATCCAACTAAGAACTTGCTTTGCCTCCGATTCCAATTGACATAAACGAACACATTGCTCAAGGTTGGTTCTGGTTGATTGGGCCAATTCCTCAATGTCCATCTGTTTGTCACGGAGAAGCTCTAAAAGCATGCTTATTATTTGTAAAGCTGTGATCCGACGAGAGTTTTGAACTGAGGAAACTAAATCAAAGCCGCAATCAGCCAGAATCATGATTGAAGATGAACATGATTCAAAAACCTGATGGGTTAAGAAAGAAAAATAAATCAGATTGTCGGAAAAGGTTGATAGTTATCAAATTAAGTTTTAAACGTGATTGCACTGGAAACAAGTTACTGTGAGAGAGAGGAAAAAAATCACTCAAACTTACTTTAATGAGATTTTCTCCTCTACTAGATGCATCATAACATAGCCTTTGGACTGTGGCAAAAATGTCATTATGCTCTTGGAGAGCACATTCAGCACAGTAAACATCTTCATAAGGAACTTCAGGTGAGTATTTACGTCGCACTTCTTCTTTATAAATTTGTATTTCATTGATTACATTAGCAACATCTTTTTCAAACAAACGTAACTGTAAACACAATTCCATTTTAAATTTTCTATTGTTCCATAATTCTTCTATCGAGTTGGCCATGCGTTTAAAATTCTCTAGAGATGTTTCAATGGCTTGAATTGATGATTTTAGGGATGAAGGTGAATTTTGGGAGGTATTTGAAGACGATGAATTTGAACTGGATTCGTATGGTGGATCGCCATCATTAGCTGGTGAATGAAGAAGAACTCGCAATTCTTGTAACAATGTTTCACCTTCATTAATAGCGGGTAAAACTGTAGCAACAACAATGTCTCGTTGTTCCAGAATTTGATCTAAAGCACTTTCACAGGCTTCTATAGTTTTAGGAGCTTCGATTGGTTTATCAATTGCTCGGTAATAATTTTGAAGTTCTTCAAAATAAAGGTTGAGATCTTTTTCCTTTTCAAAAAATCGTATTCCTAATTCTAGATGTTTTCGTCTTCTCTCGATTCGTTGTTTAAATCGCTCAGAGTGTTGAACCATTTCTTCACGAATCTGGTAGATTTTATCACGATCACATTCACCGGTGCGAGCAAACTCAACGGCTGCTCTTCTCAGCTTTTCCACATTATTATAAGTATTTTGAGCATAATTTTCTAATTGTTGATGATTCTTTTGTAATTCTTGAGCTGTCTCCAAGTTTTTCCCGATTCCAAAATTTTTCGTTAACATGCTCTCGCCACATGTACTAATCCAATCCATTACTTGACGTACATCATCATTGAATAAAGCTAATGAAAAATGTAAATGTAACCTTTGACGCTTGGATTCCAATAAAGATTCAATTCGACGATAATGCGATGTAATTCTATGTGTTAAAGCTAAAACATGTTTGGTTGCTTCATTGTAATCAGCTTTTGGATTTCTAAGCCTATTGGATGATGAGGGCGGGGATGGAGTTGATGTAGATGAAGACGAAGATGAAGATGAAACAAAATTATTATCCGTGGATGAAGGGTTAAATTTACATTGGTAGCAAAAACTGATGAAATGATTCAGCTGTAAACATAGTTTGTTACTACTGGTGACCACATCATTATATGCTCGATTAATTGCATCGAGCAGCTTTTTAGATTGATGCACTTTTTCTTCCAATTCCCTAAGTTCATTTGGTATAAAACAATGACTCTCACATTGACGAGACCAAGTTTCGGCATTTCGGACATAATGTTCAGCATGTTGATAAAAAGTTGCAGTTAAATTGAGTATAGTGGTTCTTTCTTCCCAACTGGTAGTAAAATCTTGCGCTGACCTGCTAAGCTGAGCAGTCATGGAGGCAATCTTATCTTGAGCATAGTGTCCATTTTCAATCAAACGAGCACCTACTTGTTCTAAATCACGACTGTCATTGACCTTCTCCATTTGGTGTCTCCTACACAATTTTAAACAAAGGAATATAATTTAGCTACTTAATTGATAATAGATTATGATTGTTGATGATAGTGATGAAAAATGAAAATGTACTTACGATTAGATGTGCTATCTTTTGTTTCACTTTTTCATCGGTAAGAGGATGTGATGAAGGCAAAAACATAATGGAATAAAACAGTTATGCAAATGAGACATGGAAATTGTTACGAGAAATGCTTTAGATGAATTAATGGTTGAAATTAGATAAAATTGCGATTGATTGGTTGCAGTAGTCTGATGATGGATACAAGCAAGCAGAGGTGTAGCAGCAGTTGTATCAATAGAGATGTAGATGTTGATGTTATGTTTTGTTTTGGTTGATATTGATGGTGATAAGAAAATGACGATGGACAAGTATTCAAATCACAAATTTTCAACTGTTAAGATGTAAAAGACTTTGTTTTGTCATTAAAAATAAGGTAGAGACAAGCCAAGAAAAATGGCAAAGAAAAGGTAAAAGGAAGAGTACACTGTAACTGCTTAAGGAGAGGAGGAGAAAATCTAAAGGATGAAAAAGAGGCAGAAGGGTTAGACTAAGAAGATGAAGGTGATAAAACAAGGAGATGAATGATAAAAGGCAAAGAGAAAGTAGGACCAGAAAAAAGTGATGAACAATTTAATTAATCTAAAAAATACAACTGTTAACAATCAGCCAATCTTGTGAATCACTCCAACATCAAAATAATGTTATTTGAAGTGAAATTTCAGTTTTGAAGCCAAAAGATGGCACAGTTCAATTTGACCAACCTTTGAGACCTGATGACATTGCCATCTGTTAACATAAATAACAAAAAGAAACGTCTGAAAAGTGTTATTAATGTTAATAGATGGCGTAGTCTTAGTTATTATTTTTTTTGATTGTTACTTAATGTCATCCATCTCCTTGTTTTTTCACCTTCATCTTTAAAGTCTAACCCTTTAGCTTCTTCATCTATTGTTTCTCTTCGTCTTGATCAGTTACTGTTCCTTTTGCCTTTTGTTAAATTGTTTCTGTCACTTGTCACCTTATTTTTGATGACAAAACAAAATCGTTCACCTCTTAGCTGCTGAAAATTTAAGATTCGAATAACTGTTCATCGTCATTTTCTTATCACTACTGTCACCATCAATATAAACCAAAACAAAACATGTTGTCAAAAAATCCTTCATTTGTAGAATTGAAAAAATTCCACCAAGGACATAGCTTGAATGTCCGCAAAATGTTTGAGGAAGATCCTGACCGTTTTACAAAATACAGGTAAATATTAAACAATTTAAGTATAGGTAAATATAACAAAATAATTTTCTTGTTTCAGCATTACCCTTGATGCAGATGAAAATGGAGTGATTCTATTTGATTACTCTAAAAATCTCGTTGATAATGAAGTTATGTCAAAGCTCTTTGATTTGGTATGTTAATCTTTGTATTATTTTTTATATTGAAGATCGAGTTTCATATGTATTCTCGTTATTGATTAATTTCTAATGTTTCTTAAAAAAATTATTAAAGGCTCGCAGTGTTTCTTTGGAAGACGCACGAAATGCAATGTTCAAGGGTGAGAAGATTAATTTCACCGAAGATCGAGCTGTACTTCATACTGCTCTGCGAAACCGTAGTAATAAACCAATACTTGTTGATGGAAAGGATGTTATGCCGGATGTTAATCGAGTTCTTAATCAAATGAAAAACTTTACAGAGAGTTTAATTTCCGGTAAATGGTTGGGATTTACCGGTAAAAAGATTACTGATGTTGTCAATATTGGTATTGGTGGCTCCGATTTAGGTCCACTTATGGTAACTGAAGCGCTAAAAGCTTATCAAGTTGGCCCTAATGTCCATTTTGTTTCCAACATCGATGGCACCCATTTAGCTACTACTTTAGCAAAATTGAACCCCGAGACAACTTTATTCATTATTGCTTCTAAAACTTTCACCACTCAAGAAACAATTACTAATGCTACGTCAGCACGAGAATGGTTCCTCAAAGCAGCAAACAATGATATGTCAGCAGTGGCAAAACATTTTGTAGCATTGTCAACTAACACTGAAAAGGTCAAAGAATTTGGTATTGCTGAGAGTTCCATGTTTGAATTCTGGAACTGGGTCGGTGGAAGATATTCTTTATGGTCAGCTATTGGTTTATCTATTGCATGTCATCTTGGTTTTGATAATTTTTCCAAACTTTTAGATGGAGCATATTTCATTGATCAACATTTCCTCAGTGCTCCTTTGGAACAAAATGTGCCTGTTATTATGGCTTTGTTAGGTAAATTGTGTTCAAATCTATTATTCATACCACCTTATCAATCAATGATTTAACCTATTCGCTTTACATCAGAAAATAGGATTTCTTTTGTTTACTTCACAAAAATTTCCTTCATTGATTTTTCTGGGTTTGTTACTTTTCATTGATTTCATGTCGCATATTTTCTTTATTTTTCGTGATTTAATTCTGTCTAGGAATCTGGTACATAAATTGTTATGGAGCTGAAACTCAAGCAATCTTACCGTATGATCAATATCTTCATCGATTTGCTGCTTACTTCCAACAAGGAGATATGGAGTCTAATGGTAAATATATCGCTCGTGAAGGCAATGCTGTTGATTATAGCACTGGACCGATTGTTTGGGGAGAACCTGGAACAAATGGTCAACATGCTTTCTATCAACTTATTCATCAAGGAACTCGACTCATTCCTTGTGACTTCATTGCCCCAGCTAAAAGTTTGAATCCCATCCGAGACAGTTTGCATCATAGAATTCTGTTGGCAAACTTTTTCGCTCAAACAGAAGCTTTGATGAAGGGCAAAACAAGAGAGGAGGTTAAAGAGCAACGAATCAAAAAGGGAGTTCCTGAAAATGAATTGCTCAAGAATATAAATCATCAAGTATTTGAAGGAAATCGACCAACAAATTCAATTATGGTTGACAAAGTTACACCATTCACTTTGGGTGCTTTGATTGCTCTCTATGAGCATAAGATATTTACTCAAGGTATCATTTGGGGCATCAACTCATTTGATCAATGGGGTGTTGAGTTGGGCAAGGAATTGGCTAAAGCAATTGAACCTGAACTTTCAGATAATGAACAAGTTACTAGTCACGATTCATCAACCAATGGATTGATCAACTTTTTCAAAAAAATGAGAGCTTAAAGTGAACTTTTATTGCAATTGAAAAATAAGGAAATTACAAAAACAAAGCTAAATTAAATGTGTTGATTCAATGCATTTATACACCCGTTATTAACATGCACAATGAGGCATGGTAAATTAGTATTTCTATACCTGATTTTAATCAATTTATACTTAATCTGATCTCTTAGCGATCCAAAAGTCATCTAATATCCCTTTAAAGTTATACGAATTAAGTTTAGTCCGTGGAAATGTGATCTTAAAGACATTAATTATTTGTTCATGGGTTCTTTTTATTGGTATAAAATTTTAACTTAAAAATGTTTAGAATTAATATTGATAATGTTTTGAATTGTATTTGGTATTGATTTATTTAAATAAATTTCTGCAAAATAATTTCGAATCATTACCAGAGTTGAAGTTATTTTTTACGCAAAGATTAATTTGTTTTCCATATTGTTGAATAAGCAATAGATTAGATAGATTCGGTAACACTTTAACCACCATAAGTATAGTTGATTAGTTCAATCAAATAAGGATTTAATTTACTATTGTAACCCAATGATATCAATACTATAACTGAGAGAAATGGTTCAATGTAGAAATAATAAACACTAAACAATCGTTAACATTTTTGTTCATTTATCAACTAAAAATGAGATTAGCTTGATTTTCACGAAAATTTAAACCAATTCTTCTCAAAATTGTGATTAAAGTAAATTTCACTTTACCACGAAAAGGTGTTAAAAGCCATAATAATAATCTATTATTAGCTTATTTAGATTAAAATACATGGGATCTGATAAGTAAAAAAAATAAATGAGAAGATTTTCTGGTAAAATATGATTTTTATCTAATTTTATGTAAAGAATCAAGGTTTTGTTATTGAAAATGGAAGCTGCAAAGCATTTTGTGTTCATTTACCATGCATTCACTGGACCGATCAATGAAATGCAGCAGGTTGGTTTTGGATCAATCTAGATGTGATTTGAATGTACTTGTGTGACTGTGTCTTATTTGTGGATCAATCAATTAACCGCATTTCCCTGGCCTTCAATCAATAGGTCTTCCATTTTGCTGGGTAAGTTCCTTTAAAAAGTAAGGGAGTCAAAGTTTATTGACCAGTGTTTTTACGAGTCTCAATAAGGTTAAATGCATAATGGTTGGTTTAGAAATACATTATATATATATCATTTGAATATATATATATAAATATTTATATTATTTTCGCTTTTCTTTAAAAGGGAAGAATAAGTGTCATTTATTTTTACTCTGTTTTGAAATTGTGATTTACCGTTGCTCCAATAGACTTTTGACTTCAGGTTTCTCGGCAACTTCAAGATAGCTTTTACCATCAGGTGTTTTGAGTTTCGTTTCAGCTCCAGATTCAAGTAAAAGTTTAACACAATCGGTATGCCCTTCCCAAATTGCTGCTAAAAGAGCCGTAATACCATGTTTATCTGTTGCCTAAGATGGAATGAAAAAGAAAAGATGACAAAACAAAAATCATTAGTAAATTCATTGAGTTGGGATATGCGTCAAGCGAATTAAAAATCATGAAACAGCCTTGAATGGTAAGTGAAGTTGATGACAATCATGATAAGGCTGCAATGCCTATTGTTTAGAAATTAGTTGACTATTGAAAGGTATACCAGACATGTACAACAAAGCAAAAGTAGGCGAAGGCATGAATATAAAATCAAAGTAGGACTTTATAGAGATCAACTTGATATACCAAAAGTGAACTCACATTCACATTTGCTCCAATGATGATGAGATATTCGAGGATTTCACGTTGACCATAATCGGCAGCATAGATGACAGGAGTTCTTCCATCAATTTGCTCATTAATATTGATTTTCTGGAGAAGAGAAGACAAAAAAGCGCAATCGATGATAAATCTTTTGTTCACTCACAATTTGGGAAACATGCAGAGCGTTCTGGTTTTTAGGTAACATCATTTAAATGAAAAATGAACGTAAAGCTTCAAAGGAGAATAATGAAATTTTCCGATCTTACATGTGTCTTAATCAATTCTTTAACCTGCTCAAGATCACCATTTTTAACACTCCAGACAAGATCATTAGACATGTTGAATAGAAGGTGTGCTAAGACACTAATCAGATGATGATAATAATAACGATGTTCAAATTTGGTAGACAAAAATTGGATTACACTATTAAATGTCTTATTCTTGGTCCAACTTGATTCTGATAAACAGCAGGCTTGATGGAGTTGAACAGTTCCAATAAAAGACGGTTAAAATGACACAAATGATGATTACAAAATTTTCTTTACAAATGAGTATAAAAGTATCAAAAGAAGATAATAATCAGAGTTTTACCACAATTAAACATAAATCTGTCAAGATTCACAAATTGAGCTGTTCTTTCAGCTGATAGAGATATTATGCATCATTAAACATTTTTTATTTATATGCTTGTACGCAAGTCCGTCCTTATTGCGGGGTGAGTCTACGCAATCCAAAGGTAGTCTGACAACCTTGTGAGAAGTTACTTTAATAGGAATGGTTGGTTGATATTAATACATTTGGCTAATTGATCATTGAAAGAGTCAAGAATACTTTTTGCATTCGAGCTTACTTTGACATTCCACTTCCGAATTTTCATGCAATTTTTACTGGCCAACAATCGCCTGTTATCATTCCTACCCGTTGTAAATTGTCAATGACAATTTGTCATTCATTTTAAGCAATAAAGTAAGTAATGTAGGTTTTTTAATCTAACTTTGTTTTGCCGAAAATTCATTTATGATTTGGTTTTTGCTTGGTAATCCGTAACTTTACAGGTCAGTTTGTCTGTAGTTTTCATTTGATATTCCGTTGTGTAAACGAAATCAAAAGACTTAATGACTAATGAAAGGAAGTGTCGTTTAGGTCAACTTTGAAAATGGTAAAATTATCAATTTTAATGGAGATCTCTCTAGCACAAGATGGAGATCAATGAACATTAAAGTTGAAAGTTTAAGATAATAGGATGAAAAAAAAATTAAACGGTATGCTTGGGCAAGTATGCACCTTGCTCGACTTTGTCAATTTACCGAAAGCGGTCTGAGTTCAAACGAATTGTAGACAGAGTTTCTCATTAATCACGACTCCCCTTTTCATAAATGTATTTTTCATGATCATGATACAGATTTCTTAGATTAATCTTATCGGGAACATCCATACATTGACTAAGAAAGTTCCTCTCTGATCTTCTGATCTAACATGTATTGATAATTTAGTTGTGTCAAACATATGTCACTATTTGCGTTTCCATTAGACAGTAAAACCATTTACTTTCTTTGTATCTGAACCTGAAAAGTGATGGCTCAGTTTCTAATCGAGTTGCCGAAAAATTCCTTTCCATAAATTACCGATAACTTTTGGACAATTATTAGACAACGAAAAAAATGTTTAGAAATGTTACAAGAACTTACAAGCTTTCCTCGTTTGATGGCAGCAGCAGTTGACTTGATAATTTTCTGGTTTGTTTTGATTTGCGGCAACTGTTTCTGTTTTTTGTTTTAGATTGCTTCTCCTAAATATAACTTATATTACTCATATTTCAATTTAATTTTAGGTTTGTCAATGAATTTTATGCCATGTGATGCCACTGGTGAGGCGCTAATAATGATTCTAACTTGTGACAAATAAAGAAGTAGCTCAACTCTAAAGGGTAAGTTATCTTCAACTTGAATAGAGATCAGTTCTGATTTTCCTCTTCTGTCATCTTTGATTCGAGTTAACCGTTAAATTATTTCCCAATTTTATTTCTGATGATCAAATATCCTAATCTGTCTATGACTTCAATTTCAAAGGTTTACAGATTAAAAGATTCTGAAAGTCTGCTATTTGTTTGCTAAGTCTTTCTTCGACTGCTGTTCAAATTAGTTTTGAGCCTTTGATTGCACGTTATTAGTCAAATTTGGATCCTCTAAAAGGCATTCCTGATTTTTTTGTTGTGTATTTTCAAGGCTTATTTTGATCCTATTCATGGCTGCTCGTTTTGATCTAACATGGCATACTTTTCACTAGCCTATTTATTGCATTTTTTTTGATAAAATCGATTCAAAAATATCAATTGCTCATCACCCTAATTGGATTACATACTTACTTACTATTTTAGGAACCAAAGTTAATTTTACATTTGTTCACAATGGATATACTCAACTTCAATCTGGTCCAAAAAACTGCGGAATATAAACAATTCATCACCAAAAGGAGTCTCAAGCAAATTATTCAATATTGAACATCTTAAACATCAATTTTTCAGGATCTAAGTAGCAAATGTTGATCACTAAGCTGTATAAATTATTTGCCAGATTATCAAGAGGCACAAGCTCATTCCAAATTGTTTTGATATCTATTGGCTTGCATTGTCTGGCATCCATATTGATAATTTATTTTCATTTATCTCAATATTTAGACGAAAGTAGAAGGTTTGTTTGCAATTATTTGTTTTAGAGTAGTTTATTAATTTGATTTCATTGTTTTTTTGCAGATCTGAACCTTTTGCTATTCCTAAACAAGGAGGAATCACTTTGCATCGCAGAATAGATGGAGTCAACTTGATAGTCAATGACATTATCGATGAAAAGAATATCACTTATCATGGATGGTGGCTTGACCATTACAAGTTCCACCATAGTATTCAATGTTTCGAAAGTAAATTGGTTAAATGTGTCACCGTAAGTCCAAACCATTTTTACCAACAATAACAATTCTAATAACAAATTTATAAATATTTCCAATTACCAGGTTTTTTCAACTGAGTGTAAGATTGATGGTGTCCGAGCAATGTATCAATATATTCCAATCAAAAGAGGCTATCCTTTGACTTCAATCGAGATTTCTTTAAAATCTTTCGCTCCGCATCTTACTGAACAAGTAAGAATATTTTAAATCAGAATTTAATTCATTATTACACATATTTACTAACCGTTATGGCAATATATGATTCTCATTCTAATCTTTTTTTATTTCAGACTGACGAAGGAGTCTATGGACTACATGCATTGATTCATTTAACAAGTGGACAATCTGAATATGCGAGGTAATTCTATTTTTTCAAGTAAATAATACTTAAAAATTTTATCATTAACAAATTTTTGTTTCATTATCTAGAATTAATTTTCCTGCAAATCTTGATGATTGGACTAAACGAACAACATCTTATTCTACTCCACCTGGAACCTCAATTGTTGAAATTACCATAATGGTGCTCTGTTTTGGTTACACAGGAACAGTCTCTTTCTCCGAAATTCTAATAGTTCCTAATGGTAAAATTTAAGAATATTATTTTTGCTTATCTCTTTGTTTAATTTATTTTGTAAATTATTCTTTAGAGCTCAAAGCTACACAAAAACGCAATGATCTTGTAGCTGACTGTGTTTCTGATGGATATGAAGATAGACCATTGAGTGATTCACCAAAATGCAAAACTATCAACTTCCCTTTACCAGAACCAACCGATAAATTTAACGAACATTCAATTACTTTAATAACTCAAGTTTCAATGGATCGAATCTCAATATTAGAGAAAACGTTATCATCTTGGGATGGTCCTGTATCGATTTCAATTTTTGTTCCTATCAATAACACAAATGAAGGGTTGAAAGATTGGCAGAGGTAAAATAATTTTCATTGTTAAATTTAGTATTTACATTTTTATCTTGTAACATTTGTATAAATTAATTCATTTTATAACTAATGAATTTCATCTCGTAGCTTATACTTGGAAAAAAAACTACGAAAGTTGCAACTTTGCCATAAAAGTAGTATTTCAATAATGCTTTGTCCCACTGATGATCAAATGTATCCTATTAATAAGATGAGAAATATTGCGATTGCAAATGCGAAAACTCGTTTCATTATGCTGCTTGACGCCGATTTTCAACCTTCACCTGATTTGGAAAAAGAATTCGTCCAAAATATTCAAGGGATTGATGTTTCATCCAAAGCGTTTGTAGTCCCAGCTTTTGAATACGTTGAAGCCCCTAAGGTATACGCTTTTTACTAAATATAATCAATTCGTTTTCAATAATTATTCAATATTTATTCCAACTAGGTCAATGAAGCAAGTCCTCGAAATAAAGAGGAGTTACTGCAATTAATTTTCAGAGAAGATCCATTGATCAATCCATTCAGTAAGTGTTTACCAGAACCATTTCAAAATTTAATCTTGTTTTGATTTATTCTCTTATTCAGGGTTAACTGAGTCCGTCGATGCTCATAAATTAACTAATTATTGGAAATGGTATTCAAGTAGTAAAACTTTCCCCGTTATACAGTTTTCGGACAAATACGAGCCATATTTAATTTTAGAGTAAGTCGTTTGATCTTGGTTCGATTTCTTTTAAATGTTTATCTTTATTTCTTTTTTCTCAGAAAAACCAAAAATATGCCCTTATTCGATGAACGATTTTCTGGATATGGAATGAATAAAGTCACTCATACTACCGAGCTTTTTGCCTCTCAGTAAGTAATAAATGATGATATGGATAACAAATATGGATTCTATTTCTAATTTTACTTTTTGCTTTCAGTTATACTTTATCAGTGCTTCCTAAGGCCTGGGTTATTCATCTACCTCATAGACCATCAACTTACAATCAAGATTTTCTTCAGAACTCCGATCGAAGATTGCGGAATCGTGCTCAACGTTTCCAATTTATTAAAAACATCATTGAAAAGTACAAAATCAAACAAACAGCCTGCTAATAAAGACTGCTTATACTTTATAATCTGCATACAAATGTAATCTTTATACAAACTTGAGAAAATTTCAAATTCACTTTTTCTTTTACGCATGAAGAGCTGAAACGAAACTGTACAAACTTTTTTTAATGTTTATTTCGTATTTATTTGTAGTGATTTTTCAGCTTTGAATTGAATTTTAATGGAGATCGCAATGTTTGTCCAGATGCATTTTAGTTGTATAATGGATGGCATGAAAAATATTAGCTCTTCATTGAAATGATCCGAGTTGCGATTGTAAATTTTAACGTTGCAATAATTAAATTAAATATGTGAATACTAATAGTATTATCAAAATAATCGGTCGAGCTATCTTGAATTAATTTAAGGCCTGAGTTTTTTTTCCTTGTTGATCAAGGCTAATGTTTTATCACCAATCTTCTTAAGCTCACTTAGCTGTTTCTCTAAAGGCAATAAAAGAAAAATTTTGAAGTTATTTGATTCACAAAAATAACCTTTGTAGTTTGCAAATTTAACATAACAGTCCAGATGAAAATTAGATAGCGATGAATCAGATTGTCTATCTAGAGAAAGTTCAGTTAATTTGAGTAGGTCTCTAACTTTAACTGAATCAAGAGAACCAAGTAAAGTGAATATGTTTCTGTCTTGACGACAGATTACTAGGTTAATGATATTCTCATTTAGATTTAAAGGAATTCGTTTTTCGACAACAATTTTCCGAAACATTTCCTGATCTTTACGGGATTCACGAAGAGGTTCTACAATCGATTCCTTTAGCTGTTGAATTGTTGGAGCTTCTCCACAAAGAAAGACGATTATCATTTTTGGTGCAACCAAAAACACAACCAAGCGAACAGGATTATTTGGGCAATTTTCTGGTAAATAAATAGTCGTTTCTCTTGAACGGGCTGAATTACTTTCACTCAAGTTGAATGAATTGACCAAGTTTACAATCAATAAACCATCTCGCGTTGTCGCAATTTTTGTCCACCAATGTTTCGTAGCACAAACAACACGTCGACGAGCAATCAGACAACAGTATTGGCTAGATGCAAGACGAGCGGCAGTATCGACGAGTGGTTCCATGAAAGAAGTAGCCCATGATTCAGTCAAAATATATTCAAATTTTTGTAGGCACAATTGAAGACTATGACCAGAGTAAAGTTGGTCAAGGATATAATCGATAGCAGGAAAAGCTGGTCTCAGACTTGATTTGAGACTTTCTGTGTTTGTTTCAATCAGTTTGGAAAGTCCGCATGTCAGTATGATAGTGTCAAAGATAAAATCCAGAAGACGATCCATAGCTGATGAATTAAGATCTCTAAAAGAAGTAGAATGGTCGACAGTAGTGACTAATATCAACACAATTGATCCGCGAAATATTTTCCAGTGAATTGAGCTGTTTTTTGTAAATGTTGACCTGAGATTGGCATCATTGAGTCTACTGAACAAGTTGACACTATTAAGTGAAGCCATCTTAACAAAAGGAATCCCCTCGGATGAAATCGTACTCTTCTGGCGGCAGAATAATGGTATGCCTCCAGAGGCTGAAACTCCAATCAAATTAATTGACATTTTGATAGATATGAACAAAATGAGTTGTTGTATTGACAGCTGAAAGAAATCAACAAATATGCAGAAAAATTCGAAACATCACGAATAAAAACTTGCAAGTCTTTGTTGAACTCTAGGATTATTTGTAAATATCAAATTTTTTTGATTGAAATGATTTACAATCCATTATTCAATCAATTGTAACAAATGCAGGTTGAAAAACTAAAATTCAATTCCAATTTAAAAGGATTCCGAATCGGAATTTCCGATATATCGAAGTGGTTATCGATATAATGTATCGATTTAGTATTCAGTCCCCGGTATTGATACCAATAGTGAGTCCGTCATTTCTTGCTTAGGTTGGTGAGTTTCTTCCTGAGTGATAGATTTTTAATTTATTTAATCATGGCTCTCGTGGAAACTAATTCATTCCAGAATCGACCAATGTCGATGCCGACCATGTCTTTATCAAGACTGGTTGATTTCACCGTGCAACGTACTTACCATGAGCTTCTTATACTGACTGACCTGTAAGTTTCTTTTTGGCTTATCATTTACTGTTTTTCAATGCAACATTTTTGGTAGCCATGTTGTGTTCATGTTTATCGTTGATTACTATCTATTTCATTCACTCATTTGATTTGTTTATGTATTTTTTTATCCAAAAATCTCTAAAGACTACCACAAAAATCTGACATTGAAAGGAAAATAGAAATTATTAGCTTTGCCAATCGAACTAGACAACTTTTCATCCGGTTATTGGCTCTTGTCAAATGGGCTGGAAGTGCTTCAAAAGTAGAAAAATGTTCGGTAAGTGTCGCATCTAATTTAATTCGGTTGATATTATTTCTCCATTTCAACCTCACTAAACTCTATTTCATCCATCTTTTCATTATTTCATCTCAAGACAATCGTGGCTTTTCTCAACAAGCAAGCTATGTTTTTCATAGAAACAGCAGATTCCTTAGCCAAGATGGCTCGAGAAAATTTAGTTCAAGCAAGGTATCTATTCTCTATTTTATTTTCGATTTTAAGTTTATCATCGTTTATTTTACTTCAATCTATTAATTTCACAGGCTTCCTGCTCTCCAACTGCCGGCTGCGGTTGAGGTACTCACTCTTGGCTCTTATACCCGGCTGCCAACATGCATAAGAGTAAGTTTTCTTGATATAGATGATATTAGTTATGAAAATATCTAATTTTTAATATTTTTGCTTTGAATTTTAGGATAGAATAGTTCCTCCTGATTCCATTACTCCAGCTGAAAAGAAAGCAACTTTGCAGAGATTGAACCAAATTATCCAACAAAGGCTAGTGATTTCAAATTTAAGTCCACAAATGAAAAATTTCAAAATTGGTATGTAGTTTGCATAATTTTATTGATAATTCTTTGAATCTGATAATATTCTACATACTTTTAATATTAAAGACCACGGTAGAGTTATATTTCATGTTAATCATGAATTTGAGATGGCACTGACTTTAATGGGAGATAATCCAAACTTGCCATGGAGAGTTTTGTCAATCGACTTTTTGGTTGAAGATAAAGAAACTGGAGGTAAGTTTAGTTATTCTGCTTTCTTTTAATTCTATGTATTAACTATTCAACGATTTTTTTCATTGCCTAGGTGGTAAAGATCTCGTACATCCAATCCAAGTCCGATGCATTTTAGACATAATTCAATCGCGTTTAAATGATAACTCTAAATCTCTATTAGATCCTTATATTGTATTACGTAAGTCTATTTATAATCTTTCCGGCTTATTATATAACTAATTTGATTCTTATTGTCAATTTCGTAGATACTTTTTGCCTTAGTCTTCAACTTGAAGTTTTGCATGCTCAGGCAACAAGACTCAGTAGAGAAAGACTTGGAGAGCTAGTCAAGGTAGAAGAATATTTCCTTGGTAAAAAGTTATGTATCTCATATTGGAGAAATCAAGATGACAAAAGTGAAAAGTCCGATAAAAGCGAATCAAAATCCCCGTGTAAAATTATCATTGAAATAGATAATCAAGATCAATCCAAACTTTTGCAAGTAACACATTTGCCTGAGTTAGATGCAGATACTACTTTAAGCAACGAACCATTCAAGGTAGTATTCAAAATGAATTTTTCAATATTTAAAATGTTTATTAATGTTTTTGACTTTTTTCCAGTTCGATCATTTATCCTTAGAAAAACTTCTTATTCATACAACGCATGAAAGAGCTAGACAATATCTATCATCTATTCAAGAACAGATAAAAAATAATCAGATTGGCAAATGTTCTCTCTCGGGCTGTCCACCAGTTCTTCAAATCTCATTTGTACATGACTCTTTACCTCATGAACGGATAGCAGTGGCTGTTGACACTTTTAGCGGACAATTACTAGCAGATATACCTATGTTTGATGATCCAGAGTTGAAAGATGAACTACAAACTACAATAAAGAAAGATCCTTCCAATTGGTCTCCACTCTTAGATAAACTTAAAATTCTGGTTTATCGGGATCGGTTCAAGAGGGCAGCTGAGTATCTCTCAGTTTCAACTCATGACAGCTTACTTTGGCACTCATCTGTAAATCATCCGGTTATCAGTGACACTACTACAGCAAAGCTCTACGTTCAATTCTGTCGGTATCCAAAGAACTTTATGCTAATCACCTTTAAACCAAATCTCCGCAATAGTGAAAAAGAAATGGATTTCCGTTACTATCTGTTATCAATCGAACCAGTGCCTATTGAATTTTTTGATGACCAATCTTCGTCAGATGATCAAGATATACCGAAACTTAGTGCAAAACTCTTATCATTATTCGAAATAGATGTTCCGAGTTCACTTGGATCTCCTAAAGCAGCCTTTGAATATTTCAACCTTGTCAATGGAGCTGGAAAAAGAAAATTAATTTGTGATGATTACAATTTAAAACGTAGCAAAATATGCAACTCATTTACATCTGAATTTATGCATCTAGTTAATTTCTGTGATGAGAAACTTTTCTTCGGTGTCTTATCTTCTGAGTTATTGAAAAGACGGATTTGTCACCAAGTGCGAGATTGTGACAAAGCTGGTTATATGCATTATATTGATATCACCCAATATCCACCTGACTCATTTGAGTCTGCTTCTAGATTACGCTCAAATTTAATTAGTTGCACCATTCGCTTACAATCCAGAGGTATCTATAAAATTTGGGTGGTCTCGTTAACCTTTTTCAATAGTCCAGTACTTAATCAAACTCCTAGAGATGCAACACAGAAGAAAGTTGTCTGCATGGTGTATGATTTTTCAACCGGTTTTCATTCTCAACTAGTACAAATGATTAATGATCTTCATAATGATTGGATTGCTATTTCCAAAGTCTATGAAATTTTTGCCGATTTTATCGATCAAATGAATGCCACCAATTCTCCCCCGGTTTTCGAGATTAAGTCCTTCAATTACAAGAAATTGACATTAGGTTATGGTCCAAATAAGGGTTACATTGTTTCAATAAATTGGAAGCCTTTTGAAAAGCGTTATCATCTATCATTTGCCATCAATGGCTTATCATCTTCAAATATTAATCCTCATTTAATTATCGCTGCACAATTACAACATGAGTTTAATCAACACCGTTCTATTGCTTGGCTTTTACAAACACTAAACTCGACCTTTTCGCCGTTATTGACACTACAAAATCTCACTAGTACACCGCTCCTTGGAGTGGTCAACAGTCGTCCTCACGTGCCTGTTCAAACATTCTGTATCGTCCCACAAAAAAGCAATCATATCAGACTTATTTATCGAAATACATATTGTCTCGATATTATTCTTAGTGTTGATGGTTTTGTATCCATAAGAGATGGAGCCTATAGCCTGTTTGATAAAGCTAAAGTCCTGGAAGAACTTAGTCCCATCCAAGGATTAAAAGCTTTTCTTAATAAATTCGTTGATAAAAATGCTGCACAAATGAGACGATTGTCTCAAACAGAAGACGACAATCCGCCATCGCCAATGACTCATATTGAGCATGTTGAACCATATCTATTTCAATCGAACCATAACCAAACTGCCTCTCCAATGACGATTAATTCAGCTCAAGATTCAATGATGATGAATGCCGGTGGTCCAGGAGCTCGTGGTATGCGTCAAGTCATGACTCCAGGATCATTATCACATCCAAATACTCCCGCATCACCTCACACTTCCGTACTAAATCAAAATGCCTATGCATCCTCTCCGAATCCATCATTTGCGTTAGCGTCACCTCCATCTCATGGTTATCAAACTAGCCAAAGTGGTCAAATAGCTCCGTCTCCATCTATTCCAGTTTCTCATCCTGAACAGTCTCCAGGAAATATTTTTGGTGTCAATTCTCCTATGAACCCTCTTCATGCACCTTCACCCTCATTTTTGCCTATAGCAAGTCCATCTGCTGCTACAAACATACATTCACCGGCATCCAATTTCATGAGTACATCTCATGATCATTCTGTCAACTCACCATTCCCTGGTCCAGGAGGATCAAATATCTCAATGCAATCTCCTGCCTCTGTGCCTTGGCCAAATAGTCCTTCAATGGCTCGACCTTCACCAAGACCAGGTCCTAGTCCAGTTGGTGGAGGGTTAGGAGCAAGTCCTCAGACTAATGTATCACCGCATTATCATAATGTTCCTGGACACATTGCCATGTCTTCAACCCGATTCTTACCTCAACGTGCCTGGGCGGCAGCCAATCCTACTTTATTAACGTATCAAGGGTTCGATAACATGTGTCGTCCTCACGCGCCTCTTGAGTCTCCTCCAGCTCATCATCACAACCCAGTTTATGCTTCACTGTCTCAATTAGAACGATTTTTAGGATGTGTTTTCATGAGAAAGACCCTCCAACGAACCCTAGGAGCAGGAGATGGGGTATGTGCTTAACTCATAAGTCGCCTCATTTTTAAATTTGTTAAATGTTACTACTGTTATACTTATTAAATGTTCATTTTTATTATCTTTAATAGTTTCAAGTAATAACAAGCAATCCAACTCCAGGAATTATCCAATTCAAAAATGAAACTTTACAATTCAAAATAACTGTCCATCCTATTACCATGCAGGTATGTTATTCCTCTACAAATTATTATCATGAGTTCAAGGCATATTTATCAATATTTCATAACTAAACTTATTGTTCTTCTTTTATAGTCTCTCCAAATCAGTATCATACCATTCCCAGAACATGAAAATTCGTGGTTATCAGAAGAACTGGATATTCTAAAACGTTTCTTCGAAAGCCGCGTAAGTCAAATTCTTTTTCATTCAAATTATACTCTAATTTACATTACATGGATTATTTTATATTTATACTTATTTCTCTTGTTTTTTTTCTAGGTCGTCTGCGCTCCTTATAAGCCTAATCCATTTATTTCTTACTCACGGCTCCTGAACGTTCCACATCGTGTATGCAAAGATTGTATACAGTTGATGAGACTTGAATTGGTTAGTTTTTTATTGATGCAATTTAAAGAACGATGTTCTATTTTCAATACTAATCTTTTTGTTTATCACTTTTTCAACAGTTCCCTGATCCCAGTCTTAAATGGACTTTACAATGGTTGCTAACAATAACACCGGCGCAACTTGATCGTCCGATCGGAAAACCTGGAATGTCTGCTGTATTTGTTTTCAAAGGCTCAACTGTAGTTTTCTTTGTAAGTAATGCTTCTTTAATGTCCAAAAATTTTCAATTCAATCACATTTTCTTTTTAAATAATTTCATTTTTATAATCATCTTTTTATCATTTTTTCCCTAAAGTTACAATTTACCAGAGTTATGCATAACCTCCCAATGAATGTGGAACCCCAAACCTTAGTTATACCATTTATGTTTGAAATGGAACGTAATATATTACGAGTAGCTTCTGACAAAAGCACAGGAGCTCAAACTCAAACCTATCCTGTTATAAATGAAATCAATACAATTCTAGCCCGGTACAATGAATATCAAATGCAGTCTGGTAAGAGTTATTTTTTATTCTTTAACTCCATTATTTTGTTTCAAGAACTTATTAACTGATTCATTTTTCTATTTTTATTTTTCGTAGGAGAGTATTCCATTTTCCATGCTATTCGGGAAATAATGATGAGTGATCTAGCAGCACAACCAGTTTAACGAACAAAGTGACCTATCTTGTAATATTCCTTTTTTGACCATTGGTTTTAATCAAATTTGTATAGTCCGTGTCAAAATTAAAACTTTGACTTTGGTGGTTTTTTCTAAAATATTATCCGTGTACGAATCTAATCACTCTTCATCGATCTAAAAAAATTTTAATCCATGATAATTAAATATTAGATGATATTAGAATTTTTTTATCTCTTTTGTATTACTCTCAAACTTTTATGCCATCGCATAACCATCAATGTTGCGTCTTATGACACAAACAAGAAACTGAATTCTCGATATAATTTGGATCAAATAAATGTAAATATTTAAATAATAGTTGAATAAATCAATTTTCATGACTTAAGCCAATTTAATGTATCAATACAAATTCATTAGGTTACTCAACGCATGAAATTGATTGAACGGTTTGATGATACACCTTTTTCAATGATACACATAAACTTATATTTAATGTTTTATTTTATTTTTTAGTTAATTTAAAGAATTTAAAATCAACAAAATATTGATAAATTTTCATCATCTTAATTAGTAAATCTTCAACAAAGGCAAAGAAAATTAAAATAAGTTTAACAATTAATAAGGAATCAAAATGTATATTGTGGTTAGCGTTTGCCATTAAATTTTAACAAAGTATCAAATTGTAACTATTTTTGTCTGCTTTTGACAGTTGATTAGTAGATGAAAAAAAAGTATTGCTTTTTTAAGCATTTGGATCCAAGGATAACGTTAATTCACTTGAAAAGTGTTTTTGATTAGCAATTATTCAATCCATGTCAACATCAACATCATATGTTGTGAATCAATTAAATAAAAACGGAATCCATGAATTTCACGAGAAGAACGAGATTTTTGTAGGAAAAATAAGATGAAAGTGAAGCTATTATAAGATGAAATGCTCAAGTATTTTGATAAAGTTGATGATCGGATGAAAAATATGATTGAGTTATGACTTGCATATTGGATTAATGAGGCTTCTCAATGACATTAATCCTTTTCTAATTCACTCTTTTTTTCCATGCTGGACAAGAGTTGGCATCATTAAGGTGAGTTGCTTGTATTTACCTTAACCAACACAATACTTAACATAAGCATGGACATTGATTTATATCCAATTACAGAAAGATTTTCAAGGCTCGATATGAGATGTTTTGTTTTTGTTTTTAATAATTATTCATCACAATGGACTAAATGAGAAATAAGGTTTCACTATCAATAAAATGGACAGATTAATTCAATTAATATCCAAATTTTGATTTGATTAATAGATGAATTTGCCTTTCGATTGATCTTAATTCATCTAAGCTTGTAATATCGTTACATTGATATGTTGATGGGTTGACTTTGGACGGATGTTGAGAGGTGGAAAGATGATGATGATGATGACGATGAAGGTAATCAGAATTAGAAAGGCGATTGATTATGATTGGAAGGTTGGAAAAGTACATTGATGTAAAAACACTTTTACTTTTTGAAAATCATTTTTTTGTGTGTTCATTTGATGTTGTAGGACCAAATGTCGACTTAAAGGTTAAAGATTGAGATAAAGAAAGAGTTGGGAAGGGTTAGATGAAAGAGAGAAGAGATCTTGATTTTTCTTCCTTTCATCATCATTTTAATGTTCAGCATCTTGGTCGGCAAGAACAATAAATGCTGGTTGAGGAACAGTTTCAGCAGTTTGTTCCCTTGGTCCATTGGGCTGGCCAATAAAATGATGAGGATAAGAGTGACTTGGTGATGGTTGATGATGTACAGGTGAAGAGTGTTGTGAAGGAGATGAAGGTGAATTGGATGCTTGATCTTCTTGACTGCCAACTGTAATTGGAATGAATCGGACTCCAGGTTGAGAGGCAGCAGCAGCCTGTTTAGCGGCAATCAATTCACGGAAAAGTTTCATCTTGTTTGGTGACACCATTGACTGTGAGCCTGATGAAGGTGATGATGAAGTTGGAGGTCGGCTAATAATGAAAGTAGGTCCACTTGATGACCTTGATCCATCAGAGGCTGAATTGTCCATGTCATCGGCAGATGATCCAGGTCCACCTTCACCATTGTGAATCTCTGCATCATAAAGTAAAACAATATGATCTTGATCAGAACCGGATGGATCTTGGTCTGAGGGTGAAATTGGATGGACGAAGCCAGGGTGAGGATGATAAGCCATTCCTGATGCATGGTGTGGTGGTGGTGGTGGATGTGGAGGAGGAACGTGGTGAGGATGGGCAGCAACTGAAGCTCTCATTGTTACTGGAACTTGGACAGGAACATGATAGGGAACATCAACTGGAACTTCAATGACGGGCCTTGGATGTGAGTAAGCTGTTGCCATTGACCGTTGAACTGGATAATGGTAAATTGGACGTTGAGCTGGGTAGTAGTTTGCTGGTGGAGCTTGAGCTGGACCATAGGAGACTGGGACTGGAACGTGAACGGGAACCGTGTAGGCAGCTTGAGGAGCGGGCGAGTAAGAAGGTCTCATGTATGGAACTGAGTAAGGAACTGTTGGGTAAAATGGACCGACATGTGATCGACCATATGGTGATGCATGATAACCTGGATAATTGGCTGAGTTTGATGGTCCATTCATTGATGATCGCCCATTTTCACCTGAATTAACGGGAACGGCAAGCATCACAAGAACAGGTTGAACATTTGGGTTGCTGCCTGCAGCTGAAGAGCCAGATGAACCTCCTCTTCGTTGGATGGTCATTGGTCCTAATGGGCCTCGTTGAGTGGAACCTGAAATTTGAGAAGCCGATGTTGGTCCATGTGGAATGGAAGAGGATGACATGTAGGTTCGATGGTTCATTGAGGGTAAACCACCAGCAAGTGATCTAGCTGAAGCAAGTGGGTGATGGTGCAAGTGGTGAGGAGGAGCGTGATGAGCGAAAGATGGAAGTGAATTGGTTTGTTGGGGGGTTAAAGGTGAACGAATCAATGAAGAGGCTCTTCCAGTGGGCATTGGTCGACCGTACATGGGTGGTTGAGGTAAGCCTTGTAACCGACCTGGTCCGGCCATCCTTTCATCTCTCATTGTGGCAACAATAACAGGAACAGTTTCCTCGTCTGATTCTTCGTCTTTGTCTTTACCTTCTGCTCGAACAATCAGAGTATTGGTCATGGCGTCACGGGCTTGAGCTTCCATTTGAGCTCGAGCTGCAGCAGCAATCAATCGGGACATCATGGCAGCAGCAGCATAACGAAGCATTGGATTTGGGCCAGCTTCAGATAAAGGATTAATTGGATCACTTGAGTCGTAATCTGGATTGGTTGGACTGGATGAAATTGGAATTGTAAATTTTCTCATTCGACTGGCCCATTTGGCGTTCATTTTATCCAATGGATTCTTGCCTTCTTTATCTTTATCTTTACCGTTAACAGTTGATGAACCTGTTGATGAACCATTCACAGAGGCTGCTGGTACCGATGAAGAAGCTGAACCCGATTCAGAAGAGTCTTTATCAGCATCATTGTTGTTCAATGAAAATAATGAACTTCCTTCTGAGCCAGAAGCAGAACGTAAAGGAGCAGACAAATGAAGTCCCATAAGGCGTTCAATGAAAACAATTCGAGGATTTCGGTCACCAGAATCTCCTTTCTCTTCATCATCTGAACCAGATAAAGCAGAAGATAAATCAGAGATTGATTCACTTTTACTTGAATCATCATCCGAGTCAGAAGATTTGGTTGCATTTTCGTCTGGAACACTTGTTGTCGAGGGTAAAACCGTTGATGTTTCCCGAGACGATTCTTCAGCACCAGGCGAACCCGATTCACCAGGAACACCATTAACAGTAGCTGCTATTGTCAATGAAGCAGCAACTCGAGCATCGGCTTTAGCAGCTGAAGATGATTCGTCAATTGGGAATGCCATTCCATACTTTGATTGCTATTTTTCCAATTCAATTGTTTTTATTTTTTTCACCAATAAAATTGATAAATAAAGAAGAGGAAAAAACATGTTAAACAAGAAATGTGAAAAGGAACAAAATGTTGAGCAAATATCAGACAAAAACCCGAACCAATTCAATCAGAACAACAATCAAAATTGACTGTTTTTTCATTCGTCTATTTTGATGAAGAAAAATTCAAAAATCTAAAATCCGTTCTGTCATGAGAAAGAAAAAGCAAATACGAATTGTTTGAACAGAAATTTAAATGATCAAAACAATAGTCAGCTTAAACAAATTGACTTGAAGCAGCTCAAGTTAATGTTAACGTTGATTCAATTTTCTTGTTTGCCATTTTGATTGAAACAATTCCCAATCATACTCTAATTATTCAATTTGTTGAATTAAAAGCTCAAACTAAAGCGTAATCTAAAATAGCCTCATTACTTTGGAGTCATAAAATTTATTCCAACATCTATTTGAATCTAAAAATTTTCATAACAATTGTACAACAATGTTACAATTAGGTTTTGTCCACTATAATACACAACTGACAATTATATAAATCAGTTGAATCGTAAGTACCTCAATATTTGGGTTAATACTATGTTAATTGGATCAAATTGTAACAACCAATTAAACTGGTACAGTTATGAATTCAGGTAAATACAGAAGTCTTTTTTTTCTCACTGGAAAATCAGAGCTGAGCAATCATAATTAACTAATCAACCCAATAACTGTTAACCAACATTGCCAACCATTAGCATCATCTAAACTTATTAAATTAACCTGAATAAAGTGAAACATCAAACTACCAACTAATGATAAAAACCAACATAATATTTTGTCAACTCAACCATACAAAAAAGTCTAATCATTGATATATCAGTGTGTTGTTATAAATAAATTAATAATGATCAATTGACTATAAGTAGATCTAAATGTATGTCCATTACTTTGTACACAAAAAGAGGCAAAAAGTGAATATCAGTTGTTTTAGTTAATCCCTAACCAGATCATAATATCAAGCTTACAACTAAAGATAGCCATATCATCATCATGAACCGATCTTCTTGGTGATCTCAATATCTGAATGATGTTACTTGTTTTTTTTACTTTCAAGTCAATCTTCAGTCTCACCCGACTATTCAAGACTCATTAATTTAACATTTACCTTTTAACCTTATTATCGAGTGAAGTTGTGTGTCAACAATTTAAAGCTGGACAGTTAAGCTTGAAACCCAAAAGAAACAATCAAAGAGAAATGAAGAGAAGGAAAAAGAAATGAGTTTTCTGGTTTTGAGACTTAACCAGATTTTCAAATAAACTTTCAATTTGCAAATATTACACTCAACTCTAGCAAATATTAATTATCCAATAAAGATAACTTAACATGATAAAGTTCTCGTTCCAATTGTCATTGAATTGGTAAAAAAGATTAGAAGCAAAAAATTTGGAGAAAAAAAGAGGAACCAGAAAATAATTTCTAACACCGTTTAGAGTGAACTTCAGTCAACTGATTCAACAACAAATGGCAAATTAACCTACGTTGGTGCTTTTGATTGTCTGTTTAAGATAATGATGACAATAAAGGAAGTAACGCGACATAAGACACACAAGTAAACGGTAACAATCAAAGTAACAAGCCGATAAGTTGAACAGCAGGTAAAATGGAAAACATTATTATCATTATTATCTGACGAACGAAGTAGCGTTTAGCTTGAATGAGAAGCTCTAATTGTTACGCAGGTTTGATGGCGAAAGAGAGACCATTAAATGATCAAGTCGATGATGATGAGGATAATAACTAATGATAGCTAATGAACAGGTGATTGAAAAGGTTCTCACTGATAATTAGTCAAAAATTGAGCAGAAAAATATCAAACTAATGCTTACCGCAGCTTCATCTCGTTGAGCCAGAACCAATGAAAGAACCGCAACTGAAAAGTTCCCAAAAAGTTGCCGTAAAAAAAAGGTTGAATGTTGAACGAGAAACAACAGATTAGTTGATAGTTTTTAATTTAACATTCATTGGGATGAATTGTTTTTGAGTGGAAAAAAAGGAAAAAATAAATAGTTCATTGTTTCCATTGAGTAACGCAACATGAACCAAACGTTAACCTTTCTGGTGATCAACGAATTGATCAAGACAACAATAAACGCGATAAAAATATTTATATTCATTTACGTGTTTAATTATTCAATTATTATCGTCATCTTTTGTCATTCAACTCTTTGTTTTGTTTCTTCCAAGACAATCACTAATTTACAAAGTCAATGAATTTGGACAATATTTTTGACGAAAACTCAGAATTCTGTTTCTTTCATCTTCGCTAATTGTTGTCTTCATTTTACTTACAGAAAAGGATTAATGATGAGATGAAAGCCAAGTACTTCATTGTCCTTGGTGGAGTTGATTCGTAAATCCTGTAATGATTAGAATTGGAAATTAATTTTTTGTTTCATCTTCTTTTCTTGATTTTAATTTTTATGATTTTCTAGATTAACGTTTATGTTTTGTTTGAGGAAAATTTCAACGATTAAGATTCTGTTGTGATCTTCAGTTAATTGGAATTTTTTTATGTTTTTAACCTTTTCGTTATTTGATTGTTTTGATTGTATATTTAATTAGTTGTAAAGTTGAATCCTAGTCAAGGTAAATGATTACCATTAAAGGTGAAACATGATTTGGAAGTGGAAAGCATAAGATCAATGAGAGTCGAGAAAATGTTTCAAAGTTGTTATGAAAAAAGGAATAAAAATGAATGAAGAAGATTTCGTTTGTTCTGTAATATGATTATGATTCTGATAACATTTGAAATGAGAAATGAGTTGAGTTGGAATGAATTAGAATGGATTAACAATAGAATTGTTGCTTTTCAATTAACGTTCAACATAAAGTTAACATCTAACGTTGATAACAAGTTTAACATTATATTGTACATTAACAATTGGTTATTAAGTCTGACCGATTTAACTATGCTAAGCAAAATGGAAGGATCAAAAAGCATGAGAATGTCCTGAGTAACTTTCAATTGACTTTCTTAACGAACTAAACCTTAATACGATCATCATGATGATCATTATGGTGATGGAACCGAACTGAAAGTGAAAAAAAGACAGAAAAATGAAAGAAAATAGTGAAATGAGAAACTAACTTAGAAGAGTTTTCGGTCACAATCCAGATTATTTTTTTGACTTTTTTGGTTAACCGTTGATCCCATTTTGATGGTGAATCAGTTGATCCATTAGTATCATTAGTTAATCCATTTGACTTAGTTGGTGGCGATTTAATCGAATCAGCCTTTTCGTTTGATAGATCACAAACTTTATGGTTAACCATTTCACTTGGTAATTTGCTCATCCTTCAATCTTTCATTGGCAAACAATCAAAGTAACAAATGGAAGATTTAAAACAAGTTGAAACTGAACTGAATGAAAAAAATGGTTGATTGTTGATTAACTTGACTTGATGTAAAATGGCAACACAATTGGAAAGGATAAACAAGAAAAAAGACAACAAAAAATGAACACAAAACTACAAATTGGGTAAAAATCTGGTTATGGTGAAGACTGTTGTTACTACAGCCAACAGCATAAAACTGATCTTCTGTTTGCTAAATGAATATGGATCAATCTTTCGGGACACTCGGATGATCATCTCTATTCTCCCGTTAACCAATCTTCCTTATCATCCTCCATGATCATCTCTCTTTCCCTTATGTCTACTTTGTCTGTCTTCATTTGCTTTTCCCTCAAACGCAACCCATTTTCAGGTTACATGTTTGACCTGATCATCTGCAGCGCTTTTCAACCTGCTCAGTGAACTCACTGAAACTCCCTCTGCCTTTCACTTTAACATCGTCATCTTTATCATCATAAATCGTCCTTTTCATCATCCTTACCCGATTGTAAACAAGTTTAACAGAAGCAAACACTGCAGACTGGGAAGAACCAGAAAAATTTTTCTTCTTCATCTTCATAATTCTTTGTCTCTTCCCTGTTATTAGTGTAAAGAGATGATCAACTCACCAAACTCCCCCACAAATGAATTGAAAAATGAATTGAAGATGAAACAGGAAAAGAATCTTTCTTTTTCCAATTTCTCTCTTCATTTGTTTACTTGCCTAAACTCACTGTTTACTCATCTTCAATATAATTATTGATTGTAATTACATATTTTTTTCAAATTAAAATCAACTTTACCTAATCAAATTGTTCCATTACAATTTTTCATGAGAATCGAGAAATTAATAACTCATTAAGTCTCATAAATTTACATAATTTACTCTCAAGTTTCAATCAACTCACAATTCATCACTTTTGCCTTAATGTTTCAAATCAAGAAAAGTTAAGTTTCTCAATTTACAATAAACTGTTGATCAACTCTTGATTAGCATCCAAACAGTCTGAAATCATCTTCATTTCCAAGTCGATCAAATGATTAAAATGTTTCCAACAAAATCAAGTTAATTATCTCATCAGCTGCCAATAACTTCAAATTGACCCAACTTCAATCAACTGGCAATTAACCGATTGTGAGACAAAAAAAGAGCAACAATTAGAAGTGAGAAACAAAAAAATGCAAACAGTGAATCATTGGAAACAAATCAAATCTATTAAAGTGTTGAACAATTAAAGTAATCATTGAATTCATCTTCAATAAACTTTCAATTTCCAAACTAATCAACCAAATGAATCAAATAAATCACCAGCCAAGTATAAAGAAAAATAATAATAGACGATAATTATAATTGTAATATTTAATGATTACAATAATAAAAAGAAGCTAAACAATAGGAAACATTTAAATTGCTATATTTAAATAGCAATTGTTCAAAGAGATTTCAACCATTTTCCTGGCAAAATCGCTGGTCAAATGGCTATTAATTACCAGTTTTACCTTCCATTTATCAATACCAATTGATTATTAATCAATAACTTTCCACCCTGAACCTCCCATTGAACCAACTCAAGAATAACCCACAAAAACTGTTTTAATAGCAAGAAATAGAAACACAATTAAAATTTACTCGACTGTGAGGTTAACTTGTTAAGTGTGTGTGTGTCTGAGTGTGAATCAAATTGTCTATTAATAGGTTTTACTTTTTCACAATTAACTTTCCTTTTATTGTTAATCTTCTTCCGTAACATTATCACCATTTGAGTTACTTTTAACTTTAAACATTCATTCAAAAACAAATTCTCAATTGTATTCCTTAATTTACTTTGCAACACAATTCAATAATTAGCCATTAAATCAGATTAGATGTTCAGAATGACCATTTGTCCAAACGGAAGAAATGATTAGATCAAGAAATCTGTTGATCGTAAACTAAATACATTAACAATCGAGAAACTGAAAAGTTTTGGTGTGAAGAGAAAAAAAGGAAAATCGAAAGTAAAACTGGACAATTAACGAGAAAACGATAATTCCTCATGATTAACCAGTTTTGCACTTAAAAGTTCAATCTTGAAAGTGAAGTTTCTTTGCAAAAATTGAGTTCGATAACTTTTTCAGTTTCATGAGAAGTTGTTCAGGAAAAAGGTGAAGTTAAGGTAATCAAGCAATCGAAATATTTATCGATCTAAATTTGGTTTATAATCGAGTTCGGTTTGGTGAATGATTTGAATTTAGTTTTGAGAGAAAATTTCGAAAACTATTTTTTTCGAATCTTTGTTTAATTGAATAAGAAGTCGAACTTTTGATCTATTGTTCAATGTGAACGTTCACCTTTAACCAAGCGGAAGTAACTTTTCTTGCTTGCTCATTGTTATTCACCTGAAAAACTGACTACAGTTCAATAACATATTTGATAAGTTAATTGTGAACCTTTTTTTGCTCCAACAATTGGTCAAATTGAGAGAATCGTGAACAATTAAGGAAATCATAACCCTAATCGGTAAACTAATCATCAGTTGATTAACTTTTCCATTTGGGCAACAATTAATGGGAAGCTTTGTTGATCAGTGAACAACATTATTCAAGTGGTTGTAAATTATTGAATCAAAGTAATGAAACAATTTAAACAATTTGAACAAGCAAAAAGTGAAATGAACAAGAAGAAGAAAAATTCAGTTCAATCGATTTCCCAGGCTTAATTCAACAATTGAACATTATTGTAAGTAAATTTGAAAAGTAAAAGCTTCACACCACAAACACATAGAGCAGTTAATTAATTGGTTGGAAGTGATTGCTCAAATAGAGTCGATATTTTAATCAATTGAAGTGATTGTTGGAGAAGCACGAAAAAATGAATACAAATAGGAAAAGATTGAATTTAAAAGCATTTTCTTGATCAAACTCTATTTTTGCATTATTTTTGGATAAAAAAATGAAATCAAATAAAGAGTAAGATATGAATACGATTTGTTGGCGATTCATTGTTATACTTCTGAAAGGGTTCATCTTCATGGATTCAATTTTGTTCATCTTCTCTTTCTTTCTCTCTTTTCATCTTCATCTTCATCATCGCCTTTATCATCAGTGTCATCATTATCAGGTCTGAATCTTGCAAAAGGACTCAACAGTCCGAATAAAAATGCTAAGTTGTCGCATTAACCTTTTTTGCATCAACCTTCAACCATTCAACAGTCAATTGGATAGCTATTTTTGTTTATCTGAAAAAAGGATTGAATTGTTTGTAGCATTGTTTTCAAAGGAGATAAAGTATTGTTCAAGATGCTGTTGATGATGATGATGCTCAGAATGAGGGCAAAATGAGGCAAAAACAGCGTTACATGAAAAAAACATCAACAATGACAAAAAAAAGAGTCACATTGAAAACATTAAGAACGGTATTCACTGGACCAGAATTTTACAATCCTTTTCCAAGCTGGTTTTCATTAAAATTTGTACCTTTCTGATTAATTGTAAAATTGTCACAATTTATTCATGATAATATAAAAGCTGAGCATAAATTAAACAATGGAAAATGAATGAATATATTTGATCAGATGCAGTTGAACCAAAAACAAAACAAAAACAATTCAGCTGATTACACTGTTTGGATCAACATTGGTGACAGTCTTTGAAAAACATAGACTATTGACTAACTATCAACTATCAAATGTCAAATGTTAATATTAAACTGTTAATTGTTGGTTGATAGAAACTGGTTTAACTATTAAACGTTGGTCAAGATTAAAAAAGCACAAACCGAAAGACATTTAGGTTGACTTACCGGACAATATCGTAGATTACGGTTTTTGCCTTGTGATAAGGTTTACTTTCAGTTGGTGTTGATTTCACTGAATCGCTTATTTTTGCTGGTTTCTCGACACAACCTGAAACATCCAGTAATGGTTAGTGTTGATTAATTAATCCAGTAATTGTAATCAATTGGAGTGGAAGGTACAGTTTGTTAGTAGAAGGACAAGAAAAGTGAAAATTGGGTAAAAAGGTTTGGGTCAACAAGGGATGGAAAGCAGATGATGTTATAAACAAGGGATGATCTGGTTATTGTCGGTTTTCGGGTTTACTAATTTTATTAAATTTGGGTTTGTAGGATATTAATTGATTGGAGTTTAGTTTAAAAACAAAACGAACCTTCACTTGTTAATGGTCCGTGTGTTGGAGGTAAATTACGGGCACAGTCACAGGTAATGTAAAGATTAGTTGGATTTTGTGTGCACTGTTTGCACGAACCTGAAACCGACTGAGACTCCATCGACACTTGATAATGCGATTTATACTTGAAGAGAGATTTTAAAATGTTCCAATCAATTCTGTCTGAATATAAATTAAAATAAAATGAAAAATATAAGGAAACAACATGAGAAAACAGAACAAAACTCGTAAAAAAACGGTTCTAATAGTAGACAACAAAAGCTTCTCCACCTTAAAGCTAAACCATTCCAACCTCCACCTTTCCATACAATTACCTCCTTTATTTTACCTCCTCCTCCTCCTCTTCACCGCCACCATCAAACCGCTTCACCATCATCATTACCATTCATCATCTTCATCTTCAATTCATCTAAATTTCAAGAATTTTGAATCGGTACTTTTCCAGCGCCTCCTGTTGAGAGCAAGAAAAACACTAACAAAAGCCATGCTTTTATCAATTTTGTTTTCATCTATTATTATAATCATTATTGTATTGTAATTGTTATTATCGTGTTATTATTGAAAAACTTAAAATTTTTCTTAAATAGCTCAAAAGTAATTACCAATTTGTTGATATTTTTTTCTGACTCCCCTTTGGTTGGCTCAAGGATTGAATGTTTTATTGCTTCTTGTCTTCTTGCGCTTTGCTTTTTGGCTTTTTTTGGGTAAAAAGGTTTTTTCAGTCGTTTTTCTCATTTTAATTTATTTTTTCAACTCTTTTTTGACCAACTCTCATTCACCTGATTGTTTCAGATCAATTGGCTTCAACACTTATTTCTACTGGATCCAGTCGAGGCTCATTGCACCAAATGACCATCAACAGCTGATTTTACCCGTTCAATTTCAATCCATTTCAAGATTATTTTTGCCCTTTCTCATTTATCCCGTTAAAGTGGTCAACTGATCATTGTATAAAGATTTGGTTTGCTTTAATTGCCGTCTCTTTTTAAAAGCAACATTAGGACTTCAACACTTTTACCAAGATGCATTCATTTGAGGAGGCAAAATGTGTAAAACCATTTCAACTCGATTATGTCCAGTTAGCCAGTTTACTCAGAAGACTGCATCTGAAAGTTGATTGTTAATTGAATCCCGGACCAAGTAATAATAATAATCAACAGGATCAATTTTGGTAACTGGCTTAGGTTTGATTGTTGAAGTAAAATGTAGCAAGAAGATTTGGAAGAGAGAGAAAAAAATGTGTTACCAAAAAGAGTATGTTGATGAATCGATCAACGAACTGTGAAACAAGTAAAGTCAACTTGTACCTTGGCGATCACTTTTTACCCGTTTATGCTCATGTTTTTCATCCTAATTTTACTCACTGTGTTCAGTTAAATTATAATGGTGGTTATACTGTAATGGTAAAAAAAAGACAACATAAACAACAACATAAAGTCAACCTAAAGGGTTTGTGAACCTTCATTGAGATTATCAAGTCAAATAAAGTCTTAATAATTGTTGAATTAACAATCATTATACCGATTATAACAGCAATAATGAAAACAAAGCAAAAGTCCAAAAAATCATAAGCATCAGTGATAACATTATTTAATCATTATATTCATGTTGAGATGATGAAAGCGTGAATTTGGTTCCATTTGTAACAATTTGATAATAACGCAACTCTTAACCAACTCGACACGTAACATTTGGTACCAAAGATTGTTAAACTTATTTCAATATTTTCTGGTTAAAATTCTGGTTCTTCCATTGACTATTTAGGTTCACATGATATCAAGAGTCCATTGTGAATGACAGTCAAGTAAATGATTGATGAAGTCACAATAAAGACAATTAGTAAACCTGCAACAATCAATTGATTATTTGTTATTAGCTTCTCCTTCCTTGTAACGACCGGATATTTATTAACAGCGGGAAGTTTAGCTAATAATTTCAGGTCAATTAACAATTTATGATCAATTGTAATCTCTTGTAACAGTGAAATGTTTCAACAGTAACAACAATCTTCCATTCATTTGACTCAATTATCAAGTTATCCCTTTCCAATCACTCAATAATACAATTAGATTGATTACAAATAAACTAATTAAGGTTTGAAAATCTGTGGTTAAAGTTGATTTGATTTTGGATTGCGACTTGACTTCAACTTGTTTCTTTATCCAATTTGAATTGTAAAAAGATTGTTTTAAAATTGAAAAGAGTCTACAGAAGGAAAAAGCACAATCAATTGAATTAGGTGATAGACAACAATTAAATTAATTGAAGACTCAAAAAGCATGTTAATTGTAATCCAATCGAGTCAATAACCTATCACAGAAAAGTCGAGTTTTACAATCGGTTTTTGTCTTGAAATAAATGATGAAGATGAAGATGAAATAATGTTTAAATTAAGGAGAAAAAATTGGGTTCTTTTGTGACAACATCAACTTAATCAGTTACTTCCTAAATCAAATTGGCAAAGGAATTGAATTGGATTAGAAGAAGGCGAAAAAAGGTTAACATGGAAAACAGTTGATTGTGATAATCAGAGAGACCATTTTTGGCAATTGATTATCGATCAAATGATGCTTCAAGTGTTGGAACAAGTTAAGTTAATGTTACAAATGAAAATAAATATTCACTTGATTTGTAGTAAGGATTGAAAGGTGGAAAGAGAGGAAAATTGAGTTGATTTGCAAAATTAATCAATTCTTAAGCAAATGATTGGCTATTGTTTTGCTCATTTTAATGGATTCATCTTCAAGCCATAAAATTGCTGCAATTTGAAATCGTTGAAGATAGTTCGGTAATAAAATAGTAGATTGGACAGTTGAAGCACAACGCTCTGTTTGTACTTGATGAATACGAATTAGTAAAACATGATGTTCGTCTCATGGTAATATTAATAGTATAATGGGCATGATAATGATAGATGGCAACAATGATAGTAACAGTAGTTTGTTGAGGTTAATTTAAGTATCAGTAGCTTAAAGTGATTAAGTCCAGTTAAAGGATTGATCTAAAGTAACAAGTGTGAGGTGAATTACAAATACTTCAACCTTTAAATTGATCAGCAAATGTTGAAGATGTTTCTGCTTCTGTTTGATGAAGAAGTCAATTGTCAATTGTTTCAGGTGAACATTAAGATCTTTTCAATCTAATGGATAAAGTAGTAAAGGAATGAAATTTGATTTGTTCAACAATCGACAATCTGGTAGATCAATCAGTCTCAACAGTCAATTTTCAATTTTCCTTTCCATTCAAATGAAATTCAAAATGCTTTCTCTTTACAATTTACCCACAAAACCCAATTTTGTATTTTTCATTTTCTCACTTTTGTTCATTTTTGTTTTCATTTTTATCATCATTTGTATTTCAACTTTAAGTTCAAAAGCTGTTAATGACGTGATTTATGGATATTTTAACACCAAAAACAGTTATTTAATCAACTGATTTGCGAGCTTTATTTGCTATTGAAATCAAGACCAGGTAAAAAAACATTAAAATGATGAACCAAAGCTTCCAAAAGGATGATAATAAATGCAAAAACGATCAACTTTAACGACTTAAAGGGTAAAATAATGATTCAAATGATTCCCAATGAATAAAAAACCTATCAAGTCTACAAATTTTCAATGAATTTACTCATTTTCATTGAACAAATAGATTCTCATTTAGACTAATGGTTAAACTCGGCCGCTTTTCAAGATGATATTCAATGATCCTTGTATTGAAGCGTTAAATGTTTAAATGAAGAAACAATTTAAACTGTTGATCAAATTTAATGATCACATTTAATTTGTCTCTTAAGACATCGAAAAAAAGTAACTTTTATTACAATAAAGGTCCAAGTGGTTGACTTATAAGCGCTTGTCCCAAATCTGGTTTCTGGTGTTAACCCAAGGTAAATAAAAGGCAAATTGAAAAGCAATGAAACGACTGGCAAAGCAAAAAGCGAAAGCTCAAAGACAAATAATTGCAATTGTGTCAAACAAGATGATAATTAACAATCAATGAACAAGTTATTATTATCATCTTCATCTTCATTACCAGCCTGATCCATCGAGAATAATCTCAATTCAGGTCAGCATTAACAATAATGAATTGTTGGTTTATTGTAATACAGAAAGACATTCACTTTTTTTCTGGTTTACATTCAGGATCAATTTTGTCCTCTTAACAGTCAATATTCATCATCAGTTATTCAATGAAATATTTCATGTTGATCATCAAATATTTGAAACTTTCAACATTGTATGCTTTTTAAGAGCCTAATAAATACGGAAATGTATAGTTAAATTGTCATTTATTGTCAACATTTCCATGTATACTTCAAGTCGTATGCTTTTGTGGTTAACCAACAAAATATTGGCTCAAAAAAAAGGTCAATTTGAACAATCAAACTCACACTTGATAGTTATTAACCATAAATGATAATAAAGCAATTTACATTCAAACTGTTAACAATTGACCTTTTTCCGCGTTACTATTCATTGGGACAAATTGTTAACTTGTTTCCATTTGCTAATTGTTTATTAATTTGACAACCTTTTTTTTCTGGTTAATTCAACTGGTTAAGACCAGAAAGTTGATCTTAAGGTTAACTTGAGGCTTAAGGTTTTGCGTTTTTGATTACATTTTCATGAGTTTAATGAACATTTGTTACAACAATTTAAAAATGCTTAATTGAATGGTTAAATTGTCTATCAATTATCAACTGTTAATGTCAATGAACTTTCAATTGAAAGCCAAATGTTTTTCTGTACATTCATTTTGTATCAATTTATCTGTTCATTTTAACCATTTTTATTCATTTTTTGACTTTTTTGTCCAACAAATGAATCTAATTAAACAAGAATGCATTTGATTAATTGTCTGATTGAATTTTAATCATTTGACCAGTTGAAGCTGATTCTCATTGTGAAAGGGAAAAGATGTTTCAATGGAAATGTTTCAATTTTTTATTTATAACAAATTTAGTCTCACAATTTGTCGATCTAATTTTAAATTAATTTACTCAATTTGCCATTAAAAGTGCGATTACAATTTGTGAAAGCATTGAAAGTTTGTAAATCACAGAAAAGTAAATCAAATTGCATTAAATGTGTATTCAAAGGTACATTTTCAATTGAATTTAAAGGCGCTTTCAAAATATTATTCAATATTGTTATATTTATATAATATGATGCGATTTTTGATCAAAATGCATTCAATGTTTATTCAGACTTCACTTCAATAGATTTTTCATCAACTGTTCGGAATTGAGTGATAAATTGACAAACTAAAAAGAGCAACAATCAAATGTTACCTGTTAATTGGCTTAGAAATGGTTTTTAATTTGGTTACAGTTATAATTATATTTTCACTTTTCAATTTAATCGGACAATCGAAAGTAATTTCTTAATGCATTTGCCTATTAACTTTTACATTAACATGTTTAATGTCCGTTCAACTAAACCCTTAACCTAACGTGGACGGTCAAGTCTCGGATCGTTTAATGGACTTCTTGATTATGTCAACAGTTAAGATGAAAGGAAACCAAGCAAACAACTGAAACTGAATTGCTGAAATAGTCACAATTATGAATACTCAGATGTAATTATCTTGATTTAGCCAACTGTTCAGTTTATGGTTCAAATAGCCAATTTTGAATGTAAACAATTAGTTTATTGAATAAATAGAAACATTTGATTTGGAAATGAAATTGGAATCAATTTAATGAAAAATTAAGAAATGTTTCAACAATGAAAGATCATTTGAATCATCAAGAATTTGAAATTTACAGCCAACACAGTTGACTATTTAAATTGGAGTTGAAATTGATTTAAAATTAAAATAGCAAATCATCAAACTAACAATCTCTGCATTCATTATTCATTTCTAATTGATTAAAATGGTTAAAATTAACATCAATATGATTCTGGTTAAAATTTGAAACTCAAAAATTGTCAATTTGATTAATGGCTGTTATTAACGTTAAGTTATGGTTAGAATGCAATTATCGACTATTATGTTAGGGTGACTGTATTGGTTAGGATTGTTACTGGTAATCAGTCGATTTGATTATGTTTTCAACGCACCCGTAAAGTGAATTAGCTTAATTACCACGCAATTAATCAATTGTAAACTGAAAGAATTAGCAATTTGCAAAAGTAAAACGATTTTCAAATTTTATAATGTAAGTCACTCAGGCGACACTACTATTACAACAGAAACAACTCACGAACATGATTAATATACCATTAGAACATTCAAAATACTATTGAATGCTATGCTATTCATCGGTGTAACAACAGCCGTTGTCGAGCTACAAATTGACATAATTTTAGGTCCATATTTTTCAAAAAATTGGATATTTTAAAGAGTCATCTTATTTAAGCAACAAATAATGTTCTCAACATTAACTCAATACATTATCGAAAGGACTTGAGAGGGCTTTCGAAGGACATTAGTTTCGTTAAACTTGTTGATTATTTAAATTTAACATAAACATCATATTTCATGCTTCTCATTGCAATTAATCATTTTCATCTGTTACCCAAATCCTACTCATCTTACTTGTTTTCATTAACTCTGTTTATCTTCATTATCAGATAACTTCATGGAAACCTTTTTTTGTTCAATAAAAGTTTTGCTTAAACCAACAAAGCCAAGGTAAATAATAAAAGGCAAATTTAAAAGCAATGAAACGACTTGAAAGAAAAAGCGAAAGCTCATAATTGCAATTGTGTCAAACAAGATGATAATTAACAATCAATACACAAGCACGGGCCTTAATTGTGAAGATTTTCATTAAGTCACTGCCGACATTCATAAAGATGCTCTGTGACTTAAAATCGATAGAAAAATCAAGAATCGATAACAAAAAGGTATGCATCCAATGTAATAGAAACTGGTCCATGTTCATTTTTAAGCCACAGTGCATAAGTGCGAGTATCAACAGTGACTTCAGGGTGAAGCTGCTAATAATTATGCCAGGTTCTCGACTGTGCAGAAACACGGTACTTCTCAAAATTGTTTGCAATTTGTTTATCAGATTCAGTAGTATGATTAATTATTGATTTTTGTACATGTTAGATGACTAAATTGGAATGAGAATAGCTATTTTCACTTTTTTGCACTTCAATGTGATGAGGGCTAGACGGAGCCTCGAACCCGAGTCATCCGGATGAAACCCGGACGGTTTAATAAACACACAGAGTTTCATAATCCTTTAAGATACAGCTAGATGGAGCTGTCGTGATTTTCTTGGTTCAATTTTGATAAAAAATCGAGGCTCTACTGTAGATGTTGTTGACGGCAGCCATTTTAACAAAGAGTAATAGCAAGAGAAAGCACCACGATGAGAACTACAGGGTGTGAATAAAGTTCGTGTAGGAGGCAAAAAAATATTTCCCCTACGAAGAAACCAATTTTAATTTGATTTGATTTCTCAAACGAGAAACTGATTTCCTCTATTGAGCCCTTCTACCTACACCAACTTTAGTTACACCCTGTATTTCGGGATTTAGCGACGAGAAAGAGATAGAGACGTTAAAATGGCAAAAAAATAAATGTAAACAAATTTTTTGATGAAAAAAGGTTGAAAAAAACTAACAAAGTGAAGAAAAATTAAAAGGATTATTAGTGGCGCCATCGCGTTTTGCTCCTTTTCCCTATCCTCATCTGAAAAAATCACCTCATTGCGTGCTACCTCTTGTTATACTCTTTGCTTGTTATCCTACTCTTTTGAATTTTAATTTATTTTGCTATCATCTTTAGCCATTAATTTTTTATTCTCTGTTTAGATCTATGCCTGGTTTCAGCCGGACACCCTTTAAATGAGCTGGACATGAATTTGTACCGCGGGACAATCAAATTGAATCATTATAAATATACCTTGATATTTTTAAAACTGTTTCTCACATTGAGCCTAGTTCATCATGTTTCTGGGGAAACTGAAGAAGACATTGTTTCTGTTGAAGGTTTGTACATCATTTAATTATCCCAAAGCCTAAGATTATCTCTGATTCTCCAATTTCTTCCACTGATAGTCAATTATTGTCCACTTTAATTTTATTTTTTCTCCTATCTGCGCATATACAGAAACCATTGATAGCAAACCATATGATTCAAGTGAGGTGATAGATAACAACCCGGGATTACACCATTCAAATGATTTTGGTGACACTGATTCCAATCAGACGTCCGGAGAATTAGTGTCACAGGCAATTGGATTGATAGAAGAGAAAAGGTCAACTGACTCGGACATCGATACCATGATCAATAAAACAAGTGCAAATTCAACAGCGAATGATACGAAGGTTGAATGTACACTAGTCAATATGACTGATAGTGAGGTTCGTTGACTTATTAATTTGATCTCATCAATTAATTTTGAATACATTAATTATAAATTAATGTCTATACCAAAACAAAATATGATATCCAGCCTAATAGTTCTGATATAATAGTTTCATCAAAAAAACAACAACATGGTTAAACATGGTTATTACCACTTGGTAAATGATTTCATGTTTTTTTATCTTCCATTGATATTTCGATTAATATCAATTTAATCTCACCCTCTTTATACCCAAGTATATGAGATAATTGAAATTACCATAATCAGTTTACCATCAGATTAATCGTTTAGATTGTTTCAATATACTTTATTTAACCTTGACTATCTTCATAGCTAACTTATTGTTAAATCTTACATTTCGCCATTAATCTCATGCAATGGTTTGATAATTAGGAAAGCTTGCACTCAACTAACAGTTTATTAATCAATCTCTGATAAAAGATTGTTTTATTTTCCCATTGAATCAATGAATTTGCTGGATAAACAATAAGCTTAGAATCAAAAAATGTTTTTATTTCAATTCGAATGTAGAGATATGTAGGATTTAGGGAGAAGACGAGAAGAGGAGGAAAAGTACAATAATAAGGAAGATTGTAATAGAAATGAAGAGTCAGTTAGAAATTTTCAAGATGAAGATGACGAAGAAGAAAAACATTGAAGATTAATATTTTGTCTTAAAACGTAACTCACAACAAAAAGAGGAAAGTGAAGGGAAACAACGTTTATACAGTTTTTTTTTATCGTACACTTTTTCATGTTTGTAACAAAAAATTTTAACAGTCAACAAATTAGAATCATTTTTCATTCATTAATCATAATCAAATCTATTTTATACACAAAATATATAATCTTGTTTCTCTGTGTTTAACATGCATTGAAACAGCAATATTTCCCTTCTTTGTTTTTTTACAATATTACACTCTACATGTTTTACGTATTTTAGTTTGTCCTTAATTTTTCATCATCCGGCATTTTGACTTGGCACCGTTAATTAGGCTATATATATAATATGTATAATGTTATTTTGTATGTAATTAATTAATTAACCAATTAATTAATTAATTCCAGTAGAAGCAAAAAGGGAAAAAGTAATTCCATAGATTGTTAACAAGCTTTTTTTGTATGCAGTTTTGTAATAATCGTTGAATCGTAGTAACATCCATTTTGAAGAGTCAATGAGTTAACATTTATCCGATGGCACTTGAGTTGCAGGAAGAGGTCAAATAAGGCAAAAGGGTTAAGAAAAGGAAGAGAAAGAATAGGTCACTTGTTGATGTTTTTGTCCAAGAAACTGTTTCAGCACCAGGTACGTGTTTCCAAAAAAAAAGATTTTCCAAAAATTTTACGATAATCTTGTAATGTTGAAATCTGGATTGACTTTGATTTGTCCAATGTAAAGGGTGTTGAGGTTAGTAGGTTCACTTTCCTGGGTATTGATAAGGGATAAGAATGATGTCCATGTGACGATTTGGATATTGTGTCTTTCTTATCATTCTTGTTTCCAGCGTCTTCAAAAATCGCATCTTTAGAGATTGTTTTAACCTTACTAACCGTAACACCCTTTAGATATACATATTTATATGGTGATTATGTACTTATGTGTGTTTAAGGATATTATATAATGAGCGTATAATGAGTTAACTTAATTTTCATTAAATTAGGGATTTACATATAAGCAAAGAAAATTGTACGTAGTTGAAGCGGGTTTTTGCTAATCAGTCGTGGGGTGTTGGTTTGAGTTGAGTTGAGCGACTGATAGTTTAATGTTTATCGATGTGAGTAGGAAACAATCTTAATCTTTTTTGCTGCCATTCAATGCTGTTGGATGCAGATTCCCGATGTGATTTTATAAATAATTTGGGTGATGTATTGAACTGGGCAAAGGGTTAAAGGTGGGTCAAGTTGAGGTTATCCAAAGTTTTCCAGGCACAGTTTTACAATTTGTTTAGCCAATCAAGTTTTACCGCAATATTTTAGCATATAATTCAGGCAATGTTTTCCTTGACCATTTTAGGTAAGCAATTGATGTAAAAAATTGAATTGTGAAGTTTTAAGCAGAAAGCTACTACAGTCACCTACCAGATACTGCACCTACCAGATAATGCACATAAATTTTTCAATGGCCCCTAATATGGGGGGCTATATTTACTTTTGAATTCAGTCGAATTTCGATTCGATTTCCTTAATTATCAATTAGTTTAATTCAATTTTCTTTCGTGAAATTTTAATCTAAAAACTCTGAAAATCAGTTTAAAAAAACATTTTTGCCTAAATTTGATCTATTAAGGAAGATTGAAAATCATGAATTAAACTGATCGACGAATAGTGTAAATAAGCTATTTTGCGAGTGGTGCAGTATCTGGTAGGTGACTGTAGATGAGTAGATTAGTCTAAAGTGAAAAATAGAGAAAGAGAGAGAGAGGAAGAGAAGGGAAAAATGGTCGAAAAGGTGAGCAAATCTGTAAGGAACCAATTTTTGGAGATTAAATTTGAAATAAAAAAGATGATTTAATAATTGAGCATGACCAATAGAATTGTTGGCGTCGCGTTGTAAAGAGAGTTGAGAGAAAGTTGCAATTGCTTATAAATTGCCAGTGTTAATTTAGTTGTGGTTGATTTTTCGTTGTATCATTGTGTTTGTTTCAAGGGGGTTTTGATTGATTTTAATCACAAACATCCATTACTTGTGGTGAAGGTAATTCACCTTTTACATGTTGATTTGTTATGCCAAGGGAATCTTTACTAGCATCATTGATTAACATCTGGGATAATGGTAGAAAAGAGGAACTCAAGGATGTTGGCGATGATAGTGATCCTAAACCAGAACTAGACTGGCTAGGTGATACATTATATTCTTGTTTAATGATCGGGTGATGAGCTGATATCCTTAACGCAGGACCGTACAATGTTTCAACCAGATCATTGTCCGGATTCGTGTGATGACCCGATGTTATGTGTTGAGGATGACTCTGTAAATTATTATGTCCAGTATTAGCATTATCATCTATAGTTATGCTTTCATTTATCCAATAATCGGTCTCTGGGTGATGGAAACTATGAGTTAAATGATGTGGTAAGGATTGAGGTTGAGGTGGAGGAGTTGGAGTTTCATGATGAGTTGAATGAACATGATGACCATGGTGATGATGGTGCTGATGTTGTCCAAATTGTATTGATTTAGGCGCAGAAGGGTCAGGCTTCTAAAGTGATGGAATTAAAAGAAAAATTTATTAGTAAAAGTCAGAAAATTCACAACTTTAATTGAAAAAAAGATAATGTTGAAAGAAAGGAAGTAAAAGTTTTATAAATAATTTCAATTTGATTTTAACCCGAAAAATTGCAAAAAATTTTCCTTGCCACTGGCGATTTTTTATAATTTTTACACTCTTTTCTTCCCTGATGCTCTTTAATTTAAAATGAAAAATCTAAACATTTTTTACTAATTATCTCGAATTTATCTCGAGGCTTTTAAAATTGCTAAACTTTTACCTTTCTTTGAAATCGGTCAACATTATTTTGTTATAAATCAAGATGACGTTAAGAGAAAGTGTCATAAATGAAGGCTGATCGATTCAATAGAGAAAAGTGACTCATCTTGAGATAATTGATAATCATTGGAGGGAAAATGAGTCTACTCAAGATGGAAGAATCAAAAATATCTTACATATAAACCATGCTGTTGTTGTTCATCACTGATTAAAGCTTGTCTCCTTAAATCTTGTTCCAATTGCTGGATTCTTGCTGACATTTTACGATTTTCAATTTCCAATTCTCGCTTTTGACGTTCCAATTCAGGTATTCGAGTAACATCTCGTTTAAGGGAACGTAAAAAGTCTACTGACGCCTTCAAAATAGTCCCTTTATTTTGTTTCATATCTTTTACCAATTCGTAATGAATCTCGTCCTGAGTGGGCAACAAAGTACTCAACTCCTTAATACGATCATTAATATTGTACCTTCTACGTCGTTCGATTTTGTTATGAGCATCTTTCTTTTTCCTCTCCCTTTCCCAGGCACTGTATTCAGGGTCTGAGGAAAGTGGGGGACAAGACGTGGATAAAGGCGGGCAAGAGGAAGACATCTTTGTTGCATCAGATAAACGACTGGTGGATTGTTGACTATCCTCTCCTCCATACAGTTGGTGAGGGTTAAAGATATAACTGATATCTGCTGGTAAAGTTGCAGGAATAGGATCCATGGGACTATGATGAGATTGATGGTGGTGAGAATGATGATGAATTACATTTATACTCGAACTGGGACCCATTGGACCACTGCCACCTTCGCCATTGTTATGAGCACTGCCTCCATTATCACCATTACCATTGTTACCACTGTTATGATCCATGAGGTCAGACATTTCGAGACCAAAAGTTCGCTGAACATCTTCCCAGTAGTCTCCATCTATTTCTGAAGCCGATGACCTTGGACCTGACAGTGGACTATCAGGACTTAAAGGGAAGGGAGATTGAGGGCCACTTCCATTGGCATTATTTATTAGGGATGGATGATGATGATGACTTGCCACCGACTTGGATGGTATTATTGTGGTTGATGAAGTTGTAGTCGTTGAGCTATTCGTTATTAAGGCTGATGAAGATGATGATGTACTTCCTATTGGAAGATTTGATATCGGTAAACCATTGTCTGAATTGTTAAAACCATCGGTGAAAAAATTTGGACATGATGCAGCCTCTGAAAGCTTTGTTGATGTTGAATGTGGAATGCTTCGCACTCCTCGATGTTCACCATTTCCTCCAGCAATTGTGATTACACTGCTGCTATTGGCACTGTTGTTATTGTTGATATTACCACTACCAACATTGCTATTATTATTAATCACAGTTGAACCAATATCAAGATGGTGAGAGGTTAATCTAGAATTTGTTTGCAATTTTTGAATTTGTTGTTGCTTTTGAAGAGCCTCTTTACGCTCTTGTTGAACCATTTGTTCTCTCATTAACAGTTGCTTTAAATTTGTGCGACTCATTTTTCACTTGCTAATCCTTTAGATCAGGTTTAAAAATTAAGCCAATGGTAACATAACAATGAAAACGATAATTTTTCCAACAGTTTAACTGATGTTTATAATGTTGCTCGATGATGATGACCAGTTATGATGATTGTAGAGGGGCGGAGAGATAAAGTGTCAAGAAAAAAAACAATTGTTGTGAACTTTAGGGTGAAATCAGAGCAATCAACGAGAAAAACAATAACAATAATAACTTGTTAAGATGATGATGAGCCATGTGATGCATAGAAGAGAAGAAAACTGAGAGAGAGATCAAAGAGAAAAAAGAGAGAGAAAAAACAAATGAAAGTAACTAAAGAAAGGGAAAAGCGATAAATAACAAGAATGTTGTTTACTTGATTAAATTGTGTGTGTATTAACTTTTGTTTATCATATTAGTTGTGTGTGAGTTTGCACTGCCAATAGTTTTGCCTGCCAGAGGGAGACATCAGTGAGGCAGAGGGAGAGAGAAAGAGAAAGAGAAAGATCGAAGAAAAAAGAAAGAAAGAGACAGGGAAAGAGATTGCGATATTGAAGACAGAGGAAGGCAATTAATAGACAGTTAAAGTGACTATGTGGTTAAGCCCTTTGCTCACTTAATGAGCTTCGGGGGCTAACAAAAAGGACGTTCCTTAAACGTTCCCCCGCGACTTGGAAGTAAAGGAAAGACCTTGGTGAAGAGAGAGGTAAAAATTAGAAAGAGAAAGGGAAAAATGCACACGCCTTCAAGTCTCTCTGTGTTTTTACATCATACAGGGTGAGCTGCTGGAATGGTGATGACGAAGGAAAAGGGGAGAAAGACAATTTGCAAGGACATTGAAATTTACTCTTTACTCATCAATGTTTATAGAGATTTGAGAGAGAGGGAGGGAAATTACGATGATAGACAAGATGATTGGAAGAGATTGAGAGAGAAAGTAAAGAAAAGTGGAAAAAGAAGGACAAGAGAACGGGTAGCTTCATGATAAGAGAAATGGAAAGGAATTCTGATTCCCTTCTTTTTTTTGTTAGATTTGAGTACCAACAAAAAAAGATAATTCAGTGAAATTCTGATTTCAAAAAGGATAGATAAATGGTGATAATTTAACTGATTAGAGTGAATAAAAGAGTGAGAGGCACTTCTTTCTTTCTTTTCCTTTCTGTTCATTTCTCTTATCGTCTAAAAGAGTTGGAGGAGAGATACAGAGAGACAGAAAAATAGACAGAAAATTATGATAGGGAAACCAGAAAAGGCTCAAGTTTATAAAGGCGTTACAACTTGTTGATTTTCGCCTTTCTTTTTCTCTTTCTCTTTCCTTTTTTTTGCTATCATGATGATGAAAGTGGGAGATCACCTTCTTTGAAATGTTTTATCATCATTTCGTCGATTAATTTTATAAATCTTATGAGAGTTTTTTAAACTTGTAACAAAAAAAACAGCAAAGAAAATCAGGTTTAACTCTTTTGAAGCAGACTTGAATTTTAAGATGACAAGTTAATTTCACAATGTTGTTTACAAAATAGAATTTTGAAAAAAGAAATTCATTTTCTACTCACCAACTGATTACTAACAGTTCATAATCCAGGATAATTTGATTAAAAACAACATCCAACACACAAATTGTGATAAGAAAACCAGAAAAAAAGGAAAACAGTAAATAAAAAAATCCTTTTTCTATGTTGAACCAGAAAATGAAACCAGAAAATAAGGCAAAATAAGAAGAGGCAATTTCAAGAGTTACAACTTTTACTCTATTGATATTTAACGGGGTAAATTTATACACACTTAATCCAATTGTGATTTAACAAAAGATTCAACAATTAAATAGATTAATCAATTGTAGTTAATAGCGGACACAGAGAAAAAAAAAGTAAATGTAAAAATGGTTTAAAGGAATACGCACTTGAGAGAAAGAAAAATATGTTGTTTTGCTGTGCGATTTCTTATTCCCTCTGTTAAAGCACGTTGAAAGCAAACATTGTGGTTGAAACAAAAGCAAAGATGATGCTGATATGACGATTATGATGATGATTAAGATGATGGAGAGAAACCATGAAAACGTGTCTTGCACCTAAATTAGTTTGATTACTTTTCTATCGTCACCAAAATGAAGGAAAGATATAACAAAATTCCTCTTCAATTAATTTCTCTTTTCTCTCAATCTCTTATCTTACTCTCTCTCTCTTCCTCTTTCTCTCTCCTTCTCACTCTCTCTCTACCTGTGGTATTATCTTTTCATCATCTCTAAATTGTTTATAGATGGCGCTTAATTTAACTGCGTGGCATAATTGTGATTAAATGAAAAGCTTTCCCTGGTTAATGAATTATTTAATATTGTCATATTTTTCACTCAACATTTTTACCCAAATTAACTTAATTATCAGCTCAAAGTCATTGGCTTACCATTACCATCATTGAAAATTCATAGCAAAGTTAATCGCAGTTTTCAGCCAATCTCATTCATATTTGAAGAGCTGACAAAAAAGCAAACTTTCTTAACCTTTTCCTCTTCATCTTGGTTTATCATCTTGATTTTCATCCCAATCCTCATCCCAATTTTCATCCTCATCGTCTTATTTCCAAGAAGTTATGTGCATTACCTCAACCTTGCATGTAACTTGAAAAGGCTCAACAAACGCGCACAACATCAACAGAGTTGACTTTTTTTAAAACTAATGTAAGCCTTTAATGCGCACAACAATCAACGATAGTCCATCAATTTGGTGCTTGATTATGATCCAAGAAATAAATATACACCGAGAGTTTTAAAAATTTTAATGCAATTGATAATGATATAACTTTAACAGTCCTCTAGTTGAACCCTTCAATCCTTGATTATTAATATTTAGATTTACTTTTTGCCATTTTTTCGCTCAACCACTTTTAACCAGCTATTATTAAAATCATACTTTCTTTCATTCCAGGTTTCTGGAGTTGAGATTGTGAACGCAAAACGATTCTTGGAACTGGTTACACCTAAAGGCAATGAATCAACTTGTGTTCTTGCCCTCTTTTACTATCCTTGGTGTGCTTTTAGCGCCAAATCAAGTCGAGATTTCAATGCAATTGGTAAATTATTTCCTCAGCTCAATGTGATTGCCCTTAATGCGTATCTTCACAACAGGTAAATGGCTTTCACAAACAAACTGTTAATCTCATTGTGTAACAATCAATGTTATTGCTTCTAATAATGACAATCAAAAACAATAATAATTCACTTTACTTTCATTTCATCTTCTAGTATCAATATGCGTTTTGGTCTGGTTGGTATTCCGACTGTCCTTTTTTTTCATAACGGTAAAATTGTGGCCAAATACAATTCAACCGAGTCAAGTTTACTTTCAATGGTTTCATTTATTTACCGTTTAACTGGCCTTGAACCTGATTTAACGGTCAACCTGACGGAAGACGATTGGACTAGTCCATTACCAACAATACCTCAAGTGACCATTGATTACGTCCTTATCTTATCCTCTGTATTCCTGTTGTTTACCGTTTGCTATTTGATTGGTCGATCATCCATATTTGCCAAGATTATTGAATCAATTAGGAATACATGGAGAGAAGCTGAAGCTCAACATCAACATTTAGATTGAAAAATGTAAATTAAATCAATTGACGAATGCGTTTCCAATCAAAATTCACATCAAGTTTAAACAAATTACCCACAAACACAAAAAACAATCATCTTTTTACCTTATAAACACTTGGGTTGAATAGAGAAGTCAGATAACCAGTTTTTTAAACAATTTGAGCAAAGCCAAACATTTGTCAATTGTGTTTACAAGCAAATTATTTTACACGGCTTTCATTGTAATTAATTAAATACAAATCTGTAATGCAATTGTTGCCTCGTGCACAGAAAATGTGATCAATAAATACACTTTAAATTTAATCATTTGCCTACCTTAAAAACAATCAACCGGTGTTATCACCAACAAAACAACCAAGTAAATGATGTGCCTTGATTATTGAAGTTAATAATTGCAGTTTATTGCTCATTGATTAACTCTTCTGGGAATCAGATCATTTCTTTCAAATTATCTCATGAGTTTAACTCTTGTGCCTCAAGAGACGTTAAATTAGTATCAAAAATACAGTATTGACTTGAGCTTCAACTTGAGATTCAAGGGTTGTGTTTTTGCAGCGCTGACATCTATGTGAACTTGAACTTGAATTAAATTTTATTGTTTAAACAATTACAGAGCTTAGCGAAAGTTCATTTAGGAGATAAAAACAGATTTACCTGCGTAGGAACCAATTTTGTTTTTTAGATTTTCTTTCTAAGTGATTTTGACGATTTTTTGTCAATATCGATCTCTCCTTTTCCTTTTCGTTCCCATTCTTATTTGGCATTTTTTGACAGTCTTATATTTCGAACATAGTTGTGGCGTCCATCAAAGGTTGGAAGTTTTTTCATGCTTTTGAGTTGCAATTTGCGTTGAATTGGACGCTGATTTTCATTCAATTCAGTTTTTCTTTGTTTTGTTGCTCTTTTCGTTTGAGTTTTTATCTTGCAAAATCTGGTTACAATGTAAGTCAACATGGAAAGTGTACGATCATGAATTGATATGCCAAACCAGATGCCAAGGATGCTTCCAATGAAGATTACATATTCACTCCAAGGTAGAACTGGATGGACACTGAGATACAAGTTTGCTTTCCTAGAAAATTCAATATTTATCAGACCTAATTCACTTTTCGTTTGATCCGAGTTTTCGCCTTCGACTAAATAATGTGTTTTCTCGCATTCAGTAGCAGCCGCTTGCTCAGTACAATTGATGATTGCATAATACTCTTGCATTTCCAAGTCAGTAGAATATCCATCTTCATCTTCAGAATCATCTCGATCGGTTATCTCATCATCCTCAGGTTGATCAATTTTACGAAGAAAACCTAAATGATCTGGATGTTGATCCCATTCATAAGTCAAAGTCTTAAACAGATAAGGTGTTGGTTGTCCAAGTGAATACTCTGTCATACATTTGGCTATGCTTTTAGCTTTATTATAATATCGACAGTTGGTTTCATACGGATACTCGAGAGAACTCATAACTGTTTTGACAAAACTTATCGAAGAAAATGGAAACGAACCAGATTCACGAGTAATTATATGATATTTACCCTGTTCAAAGACTGGCAGATCAGTTTGGTTACTAAATCGTATACCAAAATGGGTACCAAAAGTGTGAGTCAATTGTGCTACAACACCTTCATTCAATGTAACATGATTGGTGTGGACAGATAATGGTTTGGTTCCATTGAGGCATATCAAGCGGATAAAAATGGCCACTCCATTGTAATAGCGGGTGGAATTACAAAGATCGGTATAATTACCAAACTTTGCGAAGCTAATTTGGTTTACTTGCTCATTAAGATCGCCACTAAACTCTTTAATGTCTTTTACTTTGATAAATGAGACCAATCTGAAAGAAAAAACAATCGGAGCTTTTTGCATGGATACTTCACACTTTTCCTGGAAATCTTCAGTTGTGTAATTCAATCCTGCATCGCTAGCATTCAATTGTGCACAAAGTGAGTTCATCTCTTCAGGATAAACAGCAAACAATTTAGTCAAATTCATAGCAATAGCCATTGGAACTGTAATATCGATTGCTGGCATTTCAATGTAAGGTGCATAATCATAAGCAACATCACGACGAACTTTAAACTGTAAATAAAATTGTGTCATGTCGTAAATTTGATAGATGCAACCAATTAGGCAGAAAAGGCCAATTATCGAGGACAGTTTGGCCATTTTGTTAAACTGATTGACTTGTTTTCACTTACGATTCAGTAAACTTGATGAAACATTATATTAAAATGTCTAAATGAAATGGACAATCTCATCGACAATCAATAAAACAAAGCATCAATAATGATTTACATTCAACATGCTGAGAAATACTGTATTTCGATAAATTAGTGAAATTAAATTTTAATAATTTCTTCTTCATTTATCGATTCTAATTAGTTGCTGATCAATTTCTTGGTTTCTATCATTATTGAGACAAAATTTAATATAAATTCAAGTTATCAATTTGTCTTTTAATTGACTATATGCAATGATTGCCATGTAAATAAATTATACCTTCCAATTGAATCAGAAAGAGATTGACAGAAACTTTTATCGTTCCAGTTGAACAAAAAGGACATCAAAAATTCATACTTTCAGAGCTTTTTGTAATTTCTTTCACTAATAACTGAAAGATTGGCAGAGGTTTTGATTTTAGTCAGTAGTCTTTAGCAAATGGAAGAGTTAATTGGACCAAATGGACGAAAAATCTTTAATTATTTCCAGATTGTTGCAGAATCTGTACTTTTACCAGTCACTCTGTATATTACTTTATTTGCTCCTCTCTCAACATTTAATTATCATTATGAAAATGTTGTTAAATTGAATCAATGAAAATTTAAAAGTTATTATCATAATATTTTCTGTGTTTCAATTGACTCGAATTTTGCTTTTGGATTAGCAAAGATGAAAATCATTCGAGTAAAACTATCGTCAATAATTGACCTTTTCTGTTTCATTGGCTGTTCTATTCAAATCTATCATGTAACCTGTATCTATTTAAAATTCAAGGTTCGCCATGAAGTGACTTACGATTATGCTGATCAAGTTGAACTGCCTACCATTGACATAATTATACCGATGGCTATGACTATTAACTTGACTGAACTGTTTATTCGTTATCCTCAGCAAATGACCAGGTTATGTAAAAGGTTATTCTTGGATGATGTTAGTTATACGAATGAAAATTTCAGTGTATGTTCCATTGCAGCTAAGAAAGTCGCCTTTCTGGCCTCTGTTGACCTTGCATCATTCATCAAAGTAAAGGATATAAAAGAGCTTACAATTGATCCTCGAGAGCAGATTGTCACTATTGGTTCGCTAAATTCAGGTGAAATAACTGATGAGTGCACGATGAAACGCTATTATTCTGGGATTGCCATTTTCCTTCGCATTGTTTGCACAAAACAAGATTCACTAATTACTACAAACACAAACATCATCAGCTCTTACGAAGGAAACATTGCAGCCATTTATCACTCATTTGGTCCATATTTCGGAATCAGGTTCACCAGTCAACTTGATATGCCTGAATACGAGTTGAGCAAATATTTTATGGTTACTCAAAAATCGCCTCAACATGTGGCTGTAGCCTGGGTTCGATACGAAAAGATGGTTTCACATTCGCTTCCTTATCCATATGAAACAAACTGTCGTTATTACGACAGGTTGAAGGCTCTGTCCAATTGTGTATTAAACTATACATTGCATTCTGGAGGTTTAATGAGATTTATAATAAACGAATGGCATTCACAACCACAACATTTGGGTTTCGTTTCGCTTTTTAACCACGAATATGAATATGAATATGAAGAAGAAGGAGATGAAGACAATAATGATGATGAGAAAGTGGATGATGAAAAGCTAAAGATCGGCGTAGAAAATTGTGTTCAACAATCGATCGCTTCTGATTGTGAAAAAACTTCTTACTTAATTGTTGGTAGAATCAGTTCCGAACAAGTTCCTGATCCAAGAGGATTAATAGTCATTGAGCAACCAGTCACTCCAATCATGTATTTTAATGCTAACCCAGAATTGCAACTGAGTGAATATCTCATTTTTGTAGGAAGCATCATTGCAACTTGGTTTGGTTATTCAATATTTGATCGTTTAATGAGCCCATTGACATGGATAGCAGGCAAGTTTATTGCAAATATCAGGAAAAATCGAGAAAGTAAAAGGCCAATCAAAATTTTTATTGTTCGCAATCCATATTATTTCACCAAACCAATCGACTCAGCATGATATTCCTCAAGATTCGCATCTTCATATTCATTGATTGATATGTTGGAAAACAGATACAAGTGCACGCCGACCACTTCCTGCATCTACTTACCTAAATAGCCTCAATTTCACCAAAAAATTCGACCAGAGAAGTTCGATCGTTGCTAAAAAGACACAAACACAACACAATTGTTGCATTCACAAATTGACAAAAATTCACAAAACAAAGTAAGTCTAATGGACAAAAAAGGGTAATGATTAACTTTTTGCAAATTTAGATTCTGTTAGTTTGCAGAGAATTAAAAACTGAATCCATTTGTCCTATTAAAATATTTCTCTGATCTACACTTTTCGAAAGAATCGCGATCAAAGTTGAAACTTCGATCGCCATTTGTACAAAAATGGAAGCAGATTTTTTTATGAAACTTATTTTGCAGATGCAATTTGTGATTACTAACCAGAAAATGAACTTATATTTTGAATTAAAATTTTCTATTTCTGTACAACTTCGATTCTTCGATTTTCAGTTAAACTGGCCTTTTTCTGTGACCTTTGAAGTTAGAGGTCTGAAACTTATTATGAGTCTATGAAAATCATTTGTTCACGTCATGAATCTAATACTTTTTTCAATTCAATATCAGTTCTCCTGATTTTGGCCATTGGACTGAAAAGTTTGAACCTCGATATTTCGAGAATGGCATATGACACAATCATCATTCTTAGCCAAAACATTAGATCTCATTATGAGTTATAATATATAGAAACATTAAATTGTTCAAGATCTTACGACAAAAG